AGATTGGATGGGTGCTGAGGACACCAACACCTGCATGCATGGGCGAGCGTCTCTGTTCTCCCTGCACCAAAGGGACTGGAGGTCCCAGCACTGTGTTAAATTTTGCGGCAGCGGCTTGTGCAGAGATGGATGAACTTTTCCCCTCTGTGTGAGCTGTTTCCGCCACACATGTGCAACCTGGTCCCAATGCGAGGATTTCGTCGAGGTTGGTGTGCAACGAGGCTGGGTTTGCAAGGCGAATGCATGATGTGTTGCCATGAATGCTATGGAGGAGTCGATTGCGCTGTTGTTGTAGCACTAGGGACCATCCACTCCAGTTCACAATCAGGCAATTATACAGAAGTAAAACTTGAATTCGTGGCAAAGTGATCCCAACGAGTCCCAAAGCGACTGAGACCCGAGGATCTTGGCAAAAAACGGTCCGCCCTAGGCTGGTGCTGGTATCGTCACTACCCGGAGACAGGAAAAGATTCAGGCGAATCACCCGGTCGGTGTCCCACTTCGGACAAAACAGCACCCGCTCAGGCGGCGAGTTGGGGTCATGTTGGTACCTATGGCAACAACTGGAAAACATGGTGTCAGAGGCAATGGCCATTCGGGCGAAGGTGCCCCCTCTGACATGGGCAACCGCCCTTTGCCACCGTCAGGTGTCCGCCTGGGTGACGCGTACCTTATGCGCGGGTGTGGAATTGCCCGCAGCGATAAGGTCCTGCAACTGCTGCGATTGCTGTTCAAAAGCACTGGTTAGCTTCTTGAGGTGCTGGCCGATGTCGGCATATCCCTGGCTGATCTTACTGACATCGGCTCTGGTCTGCTGCACTTCGGAACGCATGTTCCCAATCTCGGTCTGCTGGGTTTTCACGGCATTGGTTACCTGACCGAGGGCTTGGTCAACCTGGCTTTGCAAGCGTTGCTCAACTGCGGCTAATCTGTCATTGAATCTCTGCTCAATGTCACTGACCCTGGGGATCGCGGCCGCGGGTGTCGGGCCCTGGCTCTGGGAGCTAGCGGCAGTCTGCACAAGGGCTCTTGCTTGAGGTCCTGCCTTGGCCTTGGCACCAGGGCGAGCAACTTCAGTGATCATGATATCCCCAGTGATGTGGGGGATCGTGTTGACCGGAGGCTGACTAGTGGCACCTACACGGTAAGCATGGCGTCCTGCGGGTTTCAGGGGCTTAGCGGTCCACTTGATGGAGTCTAAAAGGCCTTGGATGGTCTGCTGGTCACATCCCGGTGGAAGAGGCTGGATCAGATAATGCTTACCGATGGGTATGTACCCGTCCCCTTGCTTGGCTCTGGGATCGACCTGCAAACGAAGCTCAGTTGCATGATCACTCTCAAACCAAATGTCTGTCCGACCCCTGGGTTCTTGACAACCAAGCCACTAACTGTGGCATGCATCTGCATCTTGGCTTTGACCTCGGCATGGGTTTGGTCAGGGAGCCAAATCACAATCCACTCAGCTGCTGTTCCGCCCTGGTCGGGTCGAATGTCATCGATGAAGATGAACTGGCTTCCGGACTCCTTCCTGAGGGCGTCTGCTACTGACTCCGCGACCCGAATCTTGAAAGTGAGGGATTGGGCCGAGCTACGGTGCCCCCAGTAATCAAGGAGACAATTGTTTTGACCAGCGATGGTGGGCAGACCAGCAATTGCCTGACGGACTGGATGTGCGGCGAACTTCTGCCATGCCTCACTCTCAAAGTGTGCTTTGTGGGCCGTTACTCGAAAGGTCACACTCGCCGGCGGCATGAGCTTGCATGCATTGGGGGATGTGTATCTAATCACTGGTGAGTCGCCCAGCTGGACTAGCGTCCCCAGAAGCATAACACTGATGGAAGTGTCCTTGACTGTTGCCGGAACGTTACATGCAGCCTTGGTGAAGTTGGTCTCGACAAGTTGCTCGGCTTCAAGCACAAACAGCGCTAGCGGATAGGCTGAGAGATTCTTGCTGTTCTTCAAGAAGGGCTGTGCTTGGTCGGCCGAGGCAACACAAACTCCAGTGGCATCTGCAACAACCTGGTCAAGGGTGAGGTACGCAATGGCAGTGGAGGCATCAGTAGTGAAGATGCCATCCTGGCAGGTAAGGTTATCAACCTCAAGTTTACCAAGATTAGCTGGCTGACCACTTTTACGCTGCGTTGCGGCTTTCTGCCAAGGATCATGCTTCTGCAAAGGGTCCTCTCCTTGGGCGGGCAGCTGATGCCTTGCTCGCTTGTTGGATTTGCTTTCTTCTGGGGTCACAAGTCTGAACTGGGACCCCGCCACTTCACACAGGCTGGCCCATTGCAATCGAGCCGTGGCGAGTTTGAGTGAGGACTCAATGCGTGCCTGTGGTACTACCTGACACAATCCAGCAATCCGCTCATCAACAAGCTGCTGCGGGACGCCTTTGGCTGTGAGCAATGCCGTGAGGGCCTGATTATGTTTGGCGAGAACGCCTGCACCAGTGGTCACTTCAGCTGGTTGGTTCACAGCAAATGAGTCACAGAGCTGAGTGGCAGCACCACACAAGGTTCGATGCTGTTCAGCTGTGACAAATCGACCAAAGGCAGTGAGGAAAACACTAGGCAACCACACTGTCCTTTGCATTCTTGGAGATCACACGCGTGTTCGGATGCGAGGCGAAGGTTGTGCATGGCAAGAAAATTGCTGGCGGCGTTGCCTAGTGCAAATTTGCTAGCATGCCACACGTCACACTCTCCGGTTGCAGTGGCTACTGCCCAACACCAGTGGTTGCTGATGATGACGGGAGCACAGAAACGGTCCTGGTGCCAAAAACCTGAGAGATCTTCATGCACAGTCCAGTCAAGTTGACTGAGGCTTGACAGCATGTGGCGAATTGCTCGTGGGCCGAATCCCTGGGCTGGTGGTATCACTTGGGGCGGAGGCTCAACAAGTATTATCTCATGCGGGCCAAAACCAATGGCTTGGATCGGTGTGCTGGGAAGCAACTGGCATCCATGGTACTGCAACGTGGCCTGGTGGGTACACCATCCCAAGTCAGCAAGCTGCTGTATGACGTGCTCAACTGGGGAAAGGCTGGCGGAGGCAATTCGGAAGTTCCTACCGGACACACGGAGCTCAATCCAGGCCTCGGTGGGTGCACTGGTCAGGATGTTTCCATTGCTCAAGGTAATCCCGACAACCTCGGCAAGGAGTTTGGCATGGATGGCTGCCGGAGCGTTTCCCAACAGGGGGAGGGTGCTCCTCACACGATTCTCCCACGGGAGTTTGCCGGTGCCACCCGTTGCGGTCCAGACTTCATTATGGTGCAAGAAGCGGAAAATCCCAGCCTGGTCAGTGGCAACAATCTCTTGCAGACATTTCTGCTGCAGCGAACTGGGCGAAAATCCATACTGACGGCAACCACACGGGCAAGCACGGAAATGGTTAGTGGCTGAGTGCAGAGGGCGGCGGAGTTTGCCTTGTCCTTTCACAATGCTTACTCCACTAGAGGTGTACTGCAAGTAAATGAGTTGATCCTCACGGAGCAGGACGTCTTCCCAGGCTTCAGCACTAAATGCCTCAGAAGGCCACGGCAGATTGAGCTCAGCAAGAGTGCTAGCCAGCCTCGCATGGGTCGGGAAGGACTGAGGGACCTGCTGACCCAGTACCGCTAGCCATCGCTGTCCAGAAACCGGGATGGTGGTGGATAGGGCATGGGTGGTATCAACAACTTGCAGCTGCAGTGACTCACAGATCCACTGAATGATGGCCTTAGTGCACGGGTGGGCTCCTGCTTCCGCCACACACTCAAGTCCTATAGTGTGCCATCCCTGCAAGTGGGCGGCTATTGCAATGTGTCCAAGGGCGAGGCCTCTGGGGTCCTGGAAACCTGCACGGTGCCCACACTGACTGAAGGGCTGACACGGGTAACCTGCAATGCTCCAACCAATGCCATGCTGGATCTGCTTGACCAAGCTACTTCTACTATGGGACTCCCCTTGGTGGATGCTGGTTGCATGCTTAAGGAGATGGTGCGCACATGGAAGTGAGGCATGCTCAATGGCCAGGGCTATTTCATAACCACGTTGGTGCATTGCCGCACCAAAGACACCTACTCCAGCAAAGGCGTCGAGCCCTGCTTGACCCTGTCCTGCGGGTGCAATGACTTCCGTGCGGTTACAGCGGCAAACGATCCAAGGCTGGTCTTTGCTTACGACCTGGCCTCCGATTACCGTGAACTGACGGCAATCCTCGGGCAGACTACCAGGTACACAGACGATGACTAGGCCGCCAGGACAGGCTTCACCAAGGATCCACGTGATGCCCCCAACCACTACCCTGGCGTGATCAGTGAACCTACACTCTACAACGGGCAGGTGCCAATGTGGCGTCACAGCATGATTGAGGCCTTGCTTGACCGATCCCGGTTTATGCAAACTATCAGCAAGAAGCTCGGGCAGCATGTCGGGTGCCTGAGGTCGATGCATGACTGGGGCACATGTTTGGCTCCATGTTTGCAAAAGCAAGGCTGAGATCTGCGTCCTGCGGAGGTCGGACTCACTCAGGTGTGCTCCATGCCAAATGGCCTGGATGATCTCCTTTGTGTCACCGCAAATGTGTTCCCAGCTTTGCCAGACGAAAGCAGGGAAGGGCACCTGAGGTTGAGTCATGGGGCCTACCGGAAAGTCAAACCAAATCAAAGGGATGCCTGCTCGGTTGTTCCAGCCACACCACTTGGCGGCGCAGCTTAGCTACAGGGAGCCTGAGCCAGTGGCTGTGGATGACCATCCCTGTTAACCCCGAATAAAGGCACAGGTCTCTTGACCATGGCACATATGTTCTCAGGACTGGACTTTCTCTGGTCCCAATCTATGTCAATTCTGAGGTCAACTGAGTCAAACTCAGACTCTTTAATCAAAATGGTCTAATTACCCAGACCATGACAATAACTCAAAAGGTGGCTGCACTCATTTCTGGTTGGGATTGTCTACCCGGGTTTTGATTGTGGCTCAATTTAGCCTGGACTACCCCGAGCCCAGAGGGACCCACGCCTTCCGGAATTTGTTCAGCTTTCTGAAGCCCCGTAGGCTCGATAGGATCGCCTCAAAGAGCACCCAAGGAAAGCATCGAAAAGCATGAAGTCGATCTCCCAAAAAATGGCTGTGGTGGGTCTTTAGGTTGGATCCCCGTTTTGAATTGGCTTCCCTTTAAAACCCGCGAAAAAGGGGCTTCCCCAAAAAAAACGACAAGCCCCGTAAATGAAGCTGAGTGATGTCATGTGATGTCCCTGGCTGCATCCAAATTCCAAGCAAACCTGATCCGCCTTTCCTGCTCAAGAATTGCATTTGACCTGCGATCTGATTTGGAGAAGTCAGCCGAAGCAGCACGGGCCTCGTCAACCGCCGCCAGCCTTCTGCGTGGCACCTTCTTGGCAAACCACTTGTGCTTGAGTGCCTGCCGGCCAAAGGTCGGAGGTCATAGGGCGAAGCAGGAAACTCTGCCCAGATATTTTTCGACACACGAACAGGTGACGACTCCAGATCGGACCCCTTCACCCCTGTATATGACACCTGGTTCTGCACTTTGAAAGACCCATCTAGCCAACCATCAAGCTACCAAAATGATTGCGGAGAATAGTCCTTCCGAGACAATTACGCGGGCGCCGCAAAAAGTGGCACCCTTCCCCCTCCAATTTTCCCACAACCACGAGGGCGAACGCCCCACCAAAGGCACGAAACAAAGGTGAAGCGCAGGAGAGGCGCCGCCGTTTGTTTCCGTGTGGAAAGGGGTTGTACTCGTTAACCAGAGGTGCGCCATGAGCAAGGAAACCCTTACATGATTGATATCTGAGTGGCGGACCTGGGCACAACAAACAACGAACAGGGCTGATTATATATTTTTTAGGCCCCCCCCCCCCAAAACGGCGGTGTTCCTTTTGGTTCTCCTTTAAAAACACCAACTAAGGGGTACCAACTCAAAAACGACAAAGCCATGTATTGTTGTTATGTGACAAAGGCTGGGACCTGGGGCTGACATCTTGACAAAACTGAACAGGGTAGGGAGGGAAGGCACCCATGTTGCACACCGACAAGCTGCAAAAGCTTCAATTTAGGTGTCCTTTTTTGTAGTTGGTGTCTATTTTTTGTGGGTTTAAAGGGAACCTAAAAAGACAACACCCCTTTTGAGTTTGAGGGGTCCCCTGAAGAAAGACAATTATCAATGGACACTGCTAGAACACCAAAAAAGGAACCCGGTCGGCCAACAGGTATCCTCGGCTATGGAAGCTGACATTGCGTATTGCCTTGCCTGACCGACCGTTGCTGGTGTTCCAGTGGGTTCAAATAGGTTTTCCGAAAGAAAAACCTGGGGGTGGGGGGGGGGCGGGGCTGTCTTTTTCTTGAGGGTGCCCCTTTTTTGTGGTCGGGGGTACATTAAAAGCCACCCCCTATGTTTGCATCCCAAGGAGTGGAAGAAACAAAAACAAATCGCATCCAACCACGTTTCGCAAGACAAGATGGGCCCCAGATGCACCACGTTTGTTTTTTTCCCCGAGCGCAAGGCCTTCCAAACAACCCCCTTATCAACCCCCTTATTGGGCCGTGCTCTTTGCCGCGGTCGTTCTGCCTCATTGACCGGAAGCAAACCCTCAGCCCTGAACCGGATCCTTTGCCGCACATTTGCTTCAATTAACGTGTCCATTTGCTTAAGGCACCCCCAAAACATATATTGATCGTTGCAATGGGCCTGTCCTTTTTTTCACCCCCCCCCCCCGGAAAAGAAACAAAAACAACTTTTCTTGCGGTCTTCCCTTCGGTGTCCAGCATCTTTCAACCAGAACACACGGGAATTTTTCGCTCCGCCGAGGCCCGGCTTTTGTTCCGCCTGGGCCGCCTCGGTGCGGCTGGACTCGTTGGGGTGCAGGAGCTGCCGGGCGAGGTTCATGGCCTCACCTCGGGCGCCCCTTCGTTGGTATGGAAACCAGAGAAAACATTTCCGCCTTGCCATGAAAAGAGGGTCCAACCTGCAACTTTTGGTCGGCTTTAGAGGGTCCAACCTCGGGCCGTGCGGTCCAGTTGAGGGAGTTAGAAAGGGTGGCTCCAGTAGAGAGGTACCAGGTGATTGAACCAGGAAAACCAGGAAAACCAGGTTCACCCAAGGCGAAGTAACCTCTCTTGTGCCATGCAAAAACCACCTGCTTTAGGAGTTGAATCCTCTAAATCAGCTGGTAAATGCAAATTAGCTCCTCCAGTCGAGAGGTTAGAACAAGTTGGTACCCTTTCTTTTTTCAGGACATCTATTTTAGTAGGGGAACCCTGCCCCAACAAAAGTTGGTACAAGGGCACTACTGGGGGCCCTAGGTGCCGTTTGCGAGCGGCACGCCATGTGGGTGTGGCTGCTTCTTTTTTTTGGGCTGGTTCCCCAAGTCTGGAGAGTTTGGGAAAAATCGTTCTTTTTTTCCGAGTTGCCCCACAATTTTGGGGTGGGAAACAAAATAAACTCAGAATTCTAAGGGGGGTCCAACCTGCAAAAATAATCATAGCCAACGCAATGAGACATCCAGGTGAATCTTTGAAAAATCGACGGCCGAACCTGACAAAACTGGGTAGAATCGAAAGGACAACTGAGCAGCGCCCAAAACCCACTAACTGTTAGTTCTACTAACCTCACTTCCTGACAAAACAGTCCAAAGTGTCTGTTTGCCACTAAAGTGGTCTTCACTCAATGAGTGAGTATAAAGGTTCATATAGGTCATACTATGGTCCCAATTGAACCAGGTTGAACCACCTAGTAAAACGGCCAATGAGGGCTTTAAGCGCTGCTCCCCTTCCGATGCCAGCTGAGCGGCCGGATCGTTGCATCCACTCCTGGCATTCAGATATCTCTTGCCCACAGCTCTCACTGGCTGAATTGTTGTCAAGATCGCATTCTCGCCTGCCCACCTAGGTCCTCCAGTAGAGAGGTTAGAATAAGCTGGTACCCTTTCTTTTTTCAGGACGTCTATTTTAGGGGAACCCTCCCCCCAAAAAGGGATTCAAGGGCACCAATTACTGGGGGACCTAGCCAAAGGGCACAAGAAAAAGTAAAAGGTCTGGCTTTGGAGTGCTAATCAGGGATGGTTGTACTTGTTTTGCAGAATAGATGCATTGCAGGGGACTCTTCAAAATTGGTCCTGTGGGAGAATCAGAAGCGAACATCTTGAAATGTCCCCAGTTGAGCTGGCTGCTTGGCAATACTCTTATAATTCTGAACAAGGAGTGAGTGCTCATCTGTCAACCAACGTCCCTGGAAGTAAAGAATCAGCTGGACAGGCCTTGCATCCTTGGGAAAGGAACCTGACGAGGAAGCAGTTTGGGACATGGATGTGTTGTACACGCCGAGTCAATTATGAGAGTGGAGGAAATGGTTTTCTCAGGGAGCAGCACTGGTCACAGGCTCACAAACGCCTCAGACCTACATCCGCGTACCGCAAACCTTTGGGCGTTGGAAGGAGTCAACATTTGATCGTGGAAAGCCAAGTCTTGCTTAAGCCACATAAGCTGAGTGTGGGATTTCTACAGACGCATGAGATAGTCCCACATCGCAAAGTTTTGTTTTTTAGTGTTTATTAAAAACAAACAAGCAGTCTAACAACACACCCACACACGACCCAATCCCACCGTGATCCCGAGTTGAACAATCGCAGGACCTTTCAGCAAAACCCGCTCCCATGCTCCCAAGCCTGGCACCACGTCACCTTGCCGTTCATGATCTTCCTGGGACGACGACCCCTTTGGAATCAAAGACATCCGGTGACACTAACAACCTCGATCTGGTCGTGTTCCGACAATACTGTGGATGGACGAAATCCATTTCGCACCACGTTGAAACCATGGGAAACCATTGTTTGTTGGTATTTACAGGGGAATCACCATTCCAGGGTTTCTGAACGGTGGTGCAGGATTTTGTCCATCCACAGTATCTCACTTTCTTGGCGGACAGGCCAAGCAAAGTCCAACTTGATATTTAACTCAGGGAGTGGGATATGGCATGTCTGGTGGGGCGAATTTTGATAAGGACGCATGACTGTTGCGGCACGATGCAAAGTATGAGCCATGGTCAAGACTGGGGTTGACTTAGATTGCAGAATTCTATGCCCATGCCGTTGCAAAAACAAATCAGCCATTCAACATGAATCATGAAAGTCAACTGCCAGCACCCACATACGCACACGTGACTCAACTGTGGACTGATCAAATGAATATGTGCAAAGCAAAGCGGAATATGGGGTCCAATTCTTGGTTGCTGTTGACCCCCCTGCAAAAAAGTTTAACTTTTGGGGGGTTTAGTGGAAAACACCTTCATTTCCCAAAAAGTAAAAGTCTAAAGATCCAACCCAATAGCAGTCAATAATTTAGTGAGAGGCGAAGACACTATTAACGCATGGCTACCGTCTCACTCAGCATTTGTTGCGGAGAGACAACCTTTTGCTGCATGACGCAAACCCCTTCCACCGGAATTTGCGAATTCGCTATTGGATGTCTTGTTTTTGAAGAGTACCGTCTTGGTCTCCAAGACGAAAGCCAATGAACAAACCTACGGATTACGCATGGGGCTTCGGTCCGAAAGCAATTCTAAGACTATCAGGGGCCAACTAAATACACACACACAATGTTATGATCACTTGATTTGGTTTCAAAGTCCCCCTGGCCACCCGAATTTAGGCCCCAGAGACCAGTCACCGGCCAAGAGACTTGTGCAGCTCTTCCGCATCTCTTCCCTCAAATGGCATTTTGCCACTCCTCAGGACAATCGTGGTGAATTGATCCAGTTGATCTAGTTGAACCCACTTAGCAACATGAGTCCGAGGAGGGGCCCATGTTCGAGGTTTGCAGTCATTGGTCACTCAATGATCAATACCCAATGCTCAAACACGTCTCCATGCCAGTTGCTTCCAGCGATGGAACCGCCCTGATCTTGGTTGACGTTGAAGGGGAGCAGCAATTTAAGTTTTAGCAGCTAAGTGGGGATTTCCCACTAAACCACAATAAGCAAAAATGTAAAATGTTTCCTAACGACAACCATGTGATAACTACATTCAAACCTTGATCAAGATGATGAGCCCACTGAAGCCTCTGGGGGTTGAACCGCAATGCTTAGAATGAGCCCGCACACCAGTTCAGCAGCCATGCGGTAAGCTCGCAGGGACGTGCAGACCTGTTGGACGTGGCGGCAGGCTGCAAGAGTTCCCTCCTCAACATTCGAAAGGCTCAACCTCATGCCAAGTGGCTGTCTCCTTTTTGTTCACGGTAGTTGCCCCCTTTGGAATGGTCTCAAAGGGAAACCAAAAGGAAATCCCTATTTTAAGACACACCCAAGTGATGTTTGAAGCCTTGCATATTCAAACCTCGGTTGAAATGATGGCGGAAGGTGAGCTGTAAGCACATGGCATGCGAAGCCCAAGCCTCGAGTAAGATGCGTCCAACTCAAGTCTGCGCAAGTCCGGGCCTCCACGATTCCAATGAGACGTGCTGCTTAAACAGATTGCGCCGGCATGGGCTAGCGTGGCTGAACCATATGGTTTCCTTGCATTGACACAGCCCACGAAGCGCCAAAACCCGCCCATGTTTCCAGTCGTTTAGTTGCACCGGATTCCGATGGCACGTTTGTTCCGACATGCCTTTGGGTCATTTACCTCAATCGCCGCTGGCTGGGACAAAGAACAGGGATCCTTACATGATACACCTGAACATTGCCTTGTAAATGGTGGTTTCCCTTTATTTCGTGTTTCAAATGGTTGCAACATGTATCTTTTAAGGAGCCCTGAAGAAATACGACCAGAGCCCAATAGACAGGGCACAAAAGGTAGTACATAATCACGCCACAGGCCCACACGTCACACTTCTGCGTGTAGCTATGTGCGTAGACCTGGCCATGCGCAGAATTTGTGAGGGTTTTCAGGTAAGCCTTGATCGGTTGTCTGGGTGGGTGGCTTGGGAATTGACATATTTTGAACCCCTGGTTCTTGTAGAATGGGACACCGATTCCAGGGATACCTTCCATTTCCATTCTTTCCAGGGATCCTTCTTTCCAGAAAACCACCAGAACCCGAAAAAAAAACAGCGATCCGGTTTTTGAAGAGAACGATGGTTGACAAGACTGGAAAAGGAGCCAAGCCCTTCATTTGGTGGCTTGGGTTGGTGGTTCGGATTCGAACCCCTGGCTCTTGTATGGGAAACCCAGCAAACCACCGGGCTCCCTTCACCGCGCAATGTGTGAGGTATAGAGTTATACAAAGACCTGGACCTTCGAACAAACCAGACCAACAAGGTGAATTCACCCCATATGGGTGTGGCTCAAAATTGAGGAGCTAGGGTTACGCAAGTTTTTGGCTTTGGTTCCATTTACAAGGGGGCCATTTTGGTACATTTAATTGAGCCACAGCCATGTGTTGTGGGGCAAGGTGAATTCACCAGATGTGTTGTGGGGCAAAAACCGGGTATTCTGAGGGTCCAGGTACACCCTAACAGTCCTCATTGGAATTTGGGATCCTAAGGGCTTTGGGGTGTACAGGGAACACCGGGTTCATAAGCCCCTGGAACCTTACGTAGGGTAAACACTTGTACACACCCTCTCGAGAAAAGGCTTACATGTATCCCGAACAAAGGGTGAATAGACAAGGCCTTGAACCCGAGTCTGACGGTCGATCCAACCAGCGCATCTGCACGAGTCTGGAAGGAACTCATGCGAGTCATAATCAAAACTATTTACATGGTGTACCCAGAACCATGCAAAGAACTAAGAAGGCGGATATCCGTAGCTATTTATGGTTGGGATTGTCCCTTACTAACCTTCATCTACCCGGGTTTTGATTGCGGCTCATGTGGAAAGCGTCGATGCGGCATTCGCGCACAACTCTACTCGGTGATTGCATTCAAAGAAAATCTCAAAATCTCAGCGCCAGGGCGGCTTCCTCTTCATTTCTCAGTGTTTCTCTGATTCAAAGGGGAGTGCTTGTCTTCAGTCTTAGGGGACCCATTTCGTGGCACTTCCGCGAAGTGTCCCTAGAAATACGTGTAAGTTTCCACATCCATGTCGCCTGACCTGTCAACACAACCCCATTATCTTTCCAAAGTCCCCGTTCTTTGCGTGCGCGCCTACATGCCAGCTTAACTAGCCCTTTGGCCCCCATTTGGCCCTTGTGGGTTTCCTGTATTTGTTCTTTCAACCAGCAACAGGTTGGCTGTTTGAAAGGGGGTCTAAGTCTAGCCATGTTTCAAAGTGTCCCTTTCTTGTGCGTGGGCTTCCTGCATGCTACCAAGCAACGCTACGCCTTTGACCATCTGCGTCTGGCTTTTGACTTTTCACAGGAGATGAATTGCCAAGCTGCTTCGCCGTGTATGCAAATGAGACCCTTGCACCCCCGCCCCCCTTTGCGCGGGTGGGGTTGCGTGTGCGGTAATGGTGAGAAGAGATGGGTGTGGATGGAGAAGCTGCCTCTCCACTAGGAGTTGTTACTGATGTTTACCTTCGTCTGCATGCTTTTGGCTGCTGGCGAGGCCCCTCTGCAAAAAAAACCTTTCACCTTTTTGTGGAATAAATGGAACACCCCCTTGATTTCAACCAGAATTGTCAAAGTCCAAAGATCCGAACCCGCCAATAGCTATCCTAGGTCCTCCAGTAGAGAGGTTAGAATAAGGGTTCCAACTTTTTTCTGTAGTCTATTTTAGGGGAACCCTCCCCCAAAAAAGGAAGGGTAAAAGGGCACCAATCGCTGGGGGACCTATCCAGAATGCTAGGGTCATCTGCCTGGAGGCCGTTTCGGCGCCCCAACCTGCGACACCGAAGGCCAGAGACGGCGGCCTGAGGGGACTTGTGGCTGTCAGTGCCGCAGTTCCGCTTCATCATTTGACCCTCCTCCGGAGCGAAATGATGCACATCTCTAAGAAACCAACAGGAAATTCGATGGGAAATCCCTGATTTTCGTGGGTATTTGGCTAACTGTAGCTGGTTTCTATGAACATCAACCCCCGCCTCCACAAAAAAAGCGTGCTTGAAGAAAGCATGTCGTTGGCTGGCTCAAAATATGTGCGCACTTTCACAAAAACCTTGCAAGACGTCGTGAATCATAAGGCTTGCCAGGTTCTCTTCATTCAACAAGTGAGGTGTCTTTAATGTCTTTGAAGTCTCTGTTGCTCAGCGATTGCTTAATTGAATACTTGAAGTCAAACACGGAGTTTGAAGTCCAATGATGATCAAGGAGCCGGACACTGTCCAGGTGCAAGCACACACACACACAAACACACACACACACAGACACACAGACACACAGACACACAGACACACAGACACACAGACACACAGACACACAGACACACAGACACACAGACACACAGACACACAGACACACAGACACACAGACACAGACACACAGACACACAGACACACAGACACACAGACACACAGACACACAGACACACAGACACACAGACACACAGACACACAGACACACAGACACACAGACACACAGACACACAGACACACAGACACACAGACACACAGACACACAGACACACACACAGACACACAGACACACAGACACACAGACACACAGACACACAGACACACAGACACACAGACACACAGACACACAGACACACAGACACACAGACACACAGACACACAGACACACAGACACACAGACACACAGACACACAGACACACAGACACACAGACACACAGACACACAGACACACAGACACACAGACACACAGACACACAGACACACAGACACACAGACACACAGACACACAGACACACAGACACACAGACACACAGACACACAGACACAGACACACAGACACACAGACACACAGACACAGACACACAGACACACAGACACACAGACACACAGACACACAGACACACAGACACACAGACACACAGACACACAGACACACAGACACACACACACACACACACACACATTCAGACAAAGAGATAAACATCATGATGACGTGGAATAAATATGTGTGCAAGTGTGCGTGTGTTTGCTTGTACGCATGATGGGCTGAAGAACCTTAAAACCAACTTGTGCACTCCCCATCCCGGACGAGAAATCGCAAAACAGGGTGATGCACAGAGGCCCGTGGCCCAAAAAAGGTCCCCGACAAGAATCGCTGGAAAAAACGTATACAAAGAAAAAGCCATCATCATGGGATTGCATATAAATTCACGTCGGTTTGCCACTTACGGGGCCGCGGGCGACACAGAATCTTGACAGGAAGAATCAGGGCTGCTCATGTAAGACTCTGCTAAGCATCTCGATGTCACCGCCACATGTCCCATGTACTTGGAACAATCCTAGGTCCTCCAGTAGAGAGGTTAGAATAAAGGTACCAACCTTTTTCTGTAGTCTATTTTAGGGGAACCCTCCCCCAAAAAAGGAAGGGTAAAAGGGCACCAATCGCTGGGGGACCTAGAAACAAGATTGCCGAAGACTGCGAGTGACGCTGGCCAAATCCTTGCAGATTCTTGGGCACGTGTCCATGTGATCCGGACCCTTTTTTGCTGGCGTCAGAGAAAACAAATCCCAAAGACGCCTCTTGCAACGGGCAAACGAAAACACATGGACAGCTGGAGTGGTGCAAATCTCAACCTGGCATAGGGGTTGGGTAGTGGAAACCCCAGCGACCTGCAACATGCAATTCGGGGGGGGTTCTCAGGCCTGAAGACAGCACTGTGTAAACCTGTCCATATGGGATGGATTGGCCCTAATATTTCAGGGCCCGCATTGGCGTGGCCGAAGTATGAGAGTGAACTGAACACAAATTTGGCGACGCCCCACAAAGGAGCCTTCATTGACGTCACAAAACCGTCGCTATGCACAGAATCCATTTGATAACACACCACCAATTCCAAGTGCGAGTTGGACTTTGTCCGCCAGCTATGATTTGCAGTCAGACTGGCTGCGCTACATGCAGAACCCAGGCACTGTCCAAGCCACACAGGTGTATCACGCTTTTGGGATTCGGACCCCCCAAAGCTTGCTTCAGTTTTCCTGTTGGCCAGAAAATGGGGGACACCCCCCAAGAAACAGAGGACAAGCCACCCCGGCGACGAAACAAAATCTCCTCAAAAGTGCAGGAGAGCCCGAAGTCAGAGATGCGGATAGCGCTCCTTGTGCGAACGCCATCACCCCTCCGAACGGTTGCGATCCAAATATCCAACCCTCCAACAAAGAATCTTTGACATGTCGACGCACTGAAATGTATCTAACAGAATTGGTCCTTTTTGAGACCTGCTTCAAGTTACATTCGCGATGTGTAGTAATCAAGACTATCCAACGCGCAATTACTGCACCGTGTTGCCCCAACAAACATTCCCGTCGTTCGTGAAATGATTGCACCATTTTGGGCGAGCAACGGTTGCCAACACGTCAGTGCCACTGCAAAGTTGCACAGCCTACAATTTGCAGGTGGCTTGGAATCTAATGAACCTCACACGACGTTCTGCAGAAAGAAGGCAATTAGAATCATACATACCGTGTCGTTTTTGAGGGCACCCCTTTCTTGGTGGTTTTAAAGGAAATGACAGCATCCTGGATATCAGCATCCTGGATATCAGCCCTTTACAAAGCCTAAATGAACCCCAAACATACCCAAGACCCGCCCTCATTATATAAGACCTCAGCAAGCCCGACACTCGCCCGAAACCGGCCCGGAGCAACATCTGAATTGCCACCAAATCAAAGCCAATTGGCAGCCCTAGTCCGAGCGAGGCCGGTGATGCTGGGGATGCGGCCGCCCAGCTGACCAACCAACCAACCGACCAACCAAACAAACAACTAACCAAGCAACCAACCAACAAACCCCACCAACCAACCAGCCAACCAACCAACTAACCAGTCCCCTGGCCGGGGCTAGTAAAAAAAAACACCGGTTCCAATAGTACCTTCACTACCAAAAAGCCTAGCAACTGTGGGAGGGTACCTGGAAGATAAATTTCCTCTTGAAGGGACCCCCCTGTCAGGTGCCATGTTGGTGGAAGGCGGGGTAATGAATGTGTCCAAACCACTTGGCAAAACGCCCCAAATGGGTTGTGTCAGGCTACTCTCTCGTCAATATGTACCAAAGCATCTCTAGTTTTATCAATATGAGTGTGGGTCAAAATCAACCCTTTTTTCGGTCTATTTTACAAAAACACCTTGGGGAACCCGCGGCCCGGGGGGGGGGGCAAGTAAAGTGGTTTTGACCATCCAATAGCCATATTATGGGTGTCTCGTTGGGGGGCCCCCAAAACTGCCTTCGCTATCCTTTTGGTTTCCCTTTAAGAAACCAACTCCAAAAATGGAGTACCAACTCTTTACAAAAAAGAAGAGAAAAGACCAAGCCACCAAAAACGGAAGCCCATCGCTGAAAAACAGCGCCGCCGGGTGGCTCGAACTTGGAGTGGCTATGCTTGCTGCCCTTCTTCGCCGGCGGCTGCAGGACAAGCAGCCTCAACTTGCGCCGCTCATGGTTTCTTTTCTCGGTACCCAGTGAACGGAATAAACCCCATCTAAGCGAGGGCCCTCTTTGTTTTTTTTCAAAGGCTCGTACCAAACACCACATCCGGCCAAAAGGCTTTGTCTTGAAGTAGGTACATGTACCTTTGCGAAATACATGGCTTCAGTCTTTTTCAGTGAATGGAATAAACCCCATCCAAACCAGGAATCGCCCTCGAGTTTTCTCAGCAGACCAACCAAGGACACCTGTAGCTTGTCCCTCTAGTTGTGTCCCGCCATTGTTCCCGGAGGCTGGACCGTTCAATGGAAGACCCGACCCCGAAGCATTAGGCCCCGGGAATCGGTCGGGGGTCTCAAAACCAGGATGCTAGGCCCTAAATCCATCGAGTTGGAGCGTCTGGGCAGCTAAAAAGCGGCGATTCGGATTCCCAGACATTGGTTTGGAGTGAGCCGAATCTGTGGTTTGGACCCGGGAAGAAGAGTAAATTCCATGTACCCTCTAGAAGCAGCAGTTCAATTCCCCAAGCCACTAATCCGAACCACCAAGGGTTACCTGAGCGATTGCAGCACGGCCTGAAAAGCGAAAACAGCGAACAACCGTGCGGCTACGGTGGATGCCCCAAATATTGCAAGTACATCATCCACCCAACCACAGAACCATGGTAAACTACAGTAGATTAGGGGGGTTCTTTGTTCCCTTACTTGCAATTTTTGAGTGTGGCTCAACATTAAAGAGCTAGGGTTATGCAGGTGTTGGTGCCAAGGTGCAATTTTGGTACATGTTCTTAAGCCACAGCCGTTTAGGTATTCCAACACAACAGTACGTTGCCAACATGGGTATCATGAGCGGCTGCCCTGCCCGGCAGGTACGCCCGCCCAATGCACGTAGGTTGAACCGGTCTGAACAACTCTGCCAAGCGGGAATTTTGTATCCTCTACTTGCCCTTGAAATACTCAGGAGAAAATCCAAAAAATGGGAAACCGTTGTTTGTTGGTATTTACAGTGGAATCATCAGAAACAAGGGTTTCTCAGGTGGTGCAAATGGATTTCGTCCATCCACAGTAGTTCAATGCTGAGTCGCCACCTGACACGGGTTGCATTCTGGTCAAGCCATGACCCAGCGCTGACTTCCACCGTCACAGCAGAGAACATAAAAGCTGCAGGTGTGGTAAACATGGCTCTGTCTTTTTTGGAGGGTACCCGCTTTTTTGCGCGGGGGTCGTAAAAAAAGAGGAAAACCAAAACGAAAACCGAAAACCGAAACCCGTGTTTGGGGTCCCCTGAAAAAAGGACACACCCACATGAATTAGCTTCGAACCAGCCACGTCTCAACATGGTATACAACACTTCACACTTGGCTTGGTTCCTATTACAAAATATATTTTTCTCTAGGTGCAAGCGGTGTTCTAGGGGAAACCCCGTTTTCCAGCTGGTTTTGCAAAGAACGATGATGGGGAATCAACCCCTAGAAGTGAAAGTGGATGGGGTTTTCTTCAAATCGAAGCCTCACCGCATGATCGTCCAAAGCTGAGCGGCATGTTCTCGGACTTCCTCAGCACAGTTCTTCAGCACGACTGCCCGTAACACATCAGACACGCAAGGGAAAGGCGCCTGCCTGAGTTCTTCGAATCGGATGATTTACATTAACGTAAAAGCCGTGGAAAGATGCGAAAAGTTTGCTCAACTAGCACCACTTGGGCACCCACAAGTTGCCCCTAGCTCGCAGCCAGCAAAATGCCGGGCACTTGACGTCTATACCTTCAAGCGCAACGCCGCTCCCATGCCGAGTCGCAGATCACGATGGCAGATCCTGGCGGACCCCAAGGAATGCCGGGGCTGGCTTTCTCGGGCTTCGCAAGGTCGAGTGTATCATAGACCGGCACTACCATGCAAAAGGCTTTGGCCCGGGTCCAGGCAAGCAGGTTGTTGCAGAAGTGCAAAGCAAACCCATGAATTCCTCTCCGAAACCAAGAACTCATATTGGATAAATCAAGCAAGCGACCGAGCGACCGAGCGACCAACCAACCTTTCAAGGCCAAAAAGTATTCAAAACTTCTCCAACTAGGTCCTCCAGTAGAGAGGTTAGAATAAGGGTACCGTGTTTTTTCTTCTTCATTTTTGTCTATTTTGGGGGAACCTCCCAACCAACAAAGTTGGTAAAATTATTTTTGTCTATTGTAGTAGGGGAACCCTCCCAACCAAAAAGAAACGGTCAAAGTTGCCACCTAGCTAAGGGGACCTGTCTTTTTGTTGAGGATTCCTTGACCTCTTAGGGTGAGAACGGGCACGACTGGCTGGGGGACAACCCCAGGCCTGTGCACGTGCATGTAGGCGACCCCCCGGAGGATCTGCTGCATGACCGTGGCAGCATCCAACTCTTCGATGCCGCCCTCCTGACAGACCCGTCGAGCAGAAAACAAACAACTTTGTAATAATATTGTTAATTTTATGGCCATGGTTCCAAACCAATGGGATCCCGTTTTGGGATAGGTGCACCACCCATTGTAGTCTATTTTAGTGGGGATTGGGATGTGAACTGGGATTAGCCTAAGGGTCTCGATTGCTTTTGGGCCCTCAAAATGGGGTTGGGGTTGGGGTCCTTGAGGGGTTGAGGATTCTGCATTGGAGGGCCCAGGGGTGTGCATTGGAGTGGTCATGACCCTTAGGGTAATTATATCGGGATTCTTTGGTGGTTCATGTTTTTCATTATTTAAACATCAAAATACGGTGTTGCTTTATTTTATTTGTTCAAGTGGTGTTGTTTGATTATTAATAACACAGATCAAGACAGGGGGTCACAAGATTTCCCCGAATAGCTTGATCATTTTTCTGGTGGTTTCCAACACAAAATGACCAGGGGTCACCGGTTTTCCCCTCAGGTTGGTTAATTTGTTGGTGGTTTCGCATGAAAGGATCGCCACTGGGCTCCAAACAATTGGGAAACGGCGCGACCAACCAAGGAAAAGCACATAGAGAATCCTGACCAAGACCTGGCAAAGCTTCATTAGACCTTTGGGTTTTTATGTCCGTTGGGCCACCCTCACGCGACATCGCACATCAACTGCACGAGATTCGTGCTTTTGTTCGTACCCCAAAAATATAGAGCCATTAAAAAGGCCCTTTCTTGAGGTCCAAGACCTTCTGATGGAGGGGAGCCTCTCCCCCTCCAATGGCTCCGAACTCTGATGCTTAAAATACCCAAGGCTCGGTTGGCAAGGAGGTCTGGTTCGAGGCAAGTAGGTTGTTTGCCCAACTGCGATTTGAATTGCCCGTTTCTTGAGAGGCTCAAAGGCTGAATATGTCATCCTTATAGTGTCTCTTCTTTGGAGGGTACCCCTTTTTGGCTGGGTTTACAGAGAAACCAACAGAACCACCAACCATTTGTTGGCGTCCAACCTAAAAGAAGACCCACCCATATGGATGCGGCTCAAATATAGAGGGCCGTTCCATTCCAGGACGGCAGGTGTCTCGTCTTGGGACATCCAGGACAAGCCATTTTGGGGAATCCGATTCCTATCCTTTGAGCCACAAATGGCTGTGGGTCAAAACCAATGGTACCATGTTGGGGTAGGTGCACCACCCATTTTAGTCTATTTTAGTGGGGAATGGGATGTTCACTGGGGGTACGGGATTTTGACCCATGGCCAAATGTAGACACTCTGGTTAGTGGCCAAATACACCATTGCTTACGAAAACCAGCGGTCCATAACCCATCACCCAGCTCATGTTTTGGTCGAAGTGCCCGGTCCTGGACATGTTCCTCCAGATCGCCATCTCGACACAGCTCCTGCAAGAATGGATATATTGTGGCATGGGGGTCTCAAAGTACTCTGGTGAACTCTTCAATGGCTAGTTTATTTTAGTAGGGGAACCCTCCCCCAAGAAAGACGGGCCATGCAGTGTCTGGTGCCATGGAGATCTCTTGGCCTTTTGCGTGCATCCTGAAAAGTACGCCCCACTGGCCCTCAACCCTGGGGTTCACTTATCACCATTACAACAATAGTTGGGTTCATGTAGCCACAATTGGAGTACCTCAAGATTGGCATCATCCGAATTGGGTTAACCAGTCTTTTGCTGGGGGCCAGGAACCCTAGGGTCAATGGACAATCAATCCAAGGTCCCCTTCTGCGGCGAAAGGTGCCATGTTGCCAGTTGCGACTCTCGCCCTCAAACCGAACCAACGACGTCCAACGACTATAGGTCCGGACCATGTGGAGAATGATAGCCTACTCATGACCGGCAGATCTTCCCCTGAAACATATCAGCTAAACCCTGCCTATCGAGCTAAGATGAACATAGTGTACTTGGGCATTCGATTTGCCATGTTAGTAAGTTGGTTGGCAGCCGTTCGGTGTGCTTGCAACTGCAAGGAGCACAGTCTCTTGCGGGTTTTTTTGCTTTGGATTGGTGGCCCCTGAACGGATGGCTTTAGAACTGGACATGAGGCACGACAGCTCCAAGGAGCGTGTCATTGAAATCATTGGGTTACTGCCTTTATGAAATAATTCAGTTTCTGTTGTGGCCATGGGCTTTCAGCTTACCATGGCTATATCTCCTATCGTACTTGAGTGGACCGAACGAAGCTGCGGCTGCAAGAATCCCAGGAGCGCGTGGAACCTCTCGACTTCAGGGATGAACCATGCCCTCGCCGCTCGCCACGCGGGCGAACGAGCGAATTTTCGCCAGTGGACATGGCTGGGTGAGAGCACCTGCCCTTTCTTGGCTGGGCCTGTTTCGTGGAACAAACACTGGAATATTAGCTAGTCTGGATTCGGACCCCAGCAAAAAAATATCTGGTTTGCCTAGTGAGTGGAAAACAACAAGGCCCTCCCCCCCCCCCAGAAAAAAAAGTGGGAATTTAATTCTGGGGAACATTAAGCGCGCAGCAAGTACGGCCGGGCTGAAACAAAGACTCCAAGGTCCAACTTTGGAGAGCCCGTACCTCAGCGAATCAAACGCAGTCGCTCCATCACCATGTAGACACTCTTGCTGTCTTCGAAGACTTCGAAAAGCTTCACGATACTCCTGAGAACGGAGTGCAGCGACCACACACGATTCATGATAGTGCGCCTGCTGTGCAGCGCAAACCATCGCACGTTCAAAATATACATACATATATGCATGTACACACGTATAGACCTGCAATGTGGTTGTGTCCGAATGACAGATTCCGCTGCACCAATAACCAGACTTCAACTGTTGTGCGGGCAAGTTCAGCTTCCCCATCCAGCACACACGACAAACGTGTTTTAAACCGTCCATCACATGTACTGAACTGAATGCCATTGATTTCTGGCAGAATCTCCGCTCCGTTCTTTGCGCATCGCCATGAGCTTATTTGATGGAGAACGACAAACGCGTGAGTTCTTGCTGTTGGCACCATGCGGCTCACATTTCATAGCAAAATGCCATGGTCAAAGCGAAGCTCTGCCTGAATGGATCAATCACCATGTGTCCAGTAAAGCAGGCGACTCGACGTAAATGTGTCATGTGGCAAGTCTTTGAAGCCACGCGCGGTCAAACGCCGTAGCAAAGTGAATCATGCGACACCAGATAATATGAGGGCTCTTGTTTAGGGTCCCCCCCCTTTGTTGGCAGGTTCTAAAGGGAAACCAACACGAAAACCACGGTGGTCCCCCTAAATCAAGACACACGCATCTCCATCTTCAAGGCTTTCTTGTCTGAACAATCGTTGGCCACTGCACTGCCCCAAGTGCTGGCCGAGCATCGGATGATCCAACATCTTGGCAACTCGGATCTCCTCCTTCAGGAAGTCCAGGCGCGTGTCTCTATCGCGGCCTGATAATTAGTTGGTTGACTCACCACATCCTACCGTGCAAAAAAAAAACACCAAAACCTTTTCCTGTGGAGAACATGCACATCTTGTTGTTATCGCTTTGTTCTGTTATCGTAACTTTCTTGTCGCGATTGCAAGCCTCTCTCTTTCCTGGGGCCTGTAGTTTTGGCGAGCTTTCACCTCAACAGAATGGGGAAGGTTCGGCCATTGCCGGAAGTCACCAAACGATTCCTTGGCACTGCCTGTGACCCTGGGCTGTCAACTCAGATCCTGCACTAAAAGTTTAACTTTTAGTCGGTTAAATGGAAACCCCCACTAAACACAAGAAAGCTAAAAAGTAAAAAGCTAAGGAACCGGATGGCTGGGAGCCAGCAAGGACCCATATACCCGCAAAGCTGTGGTGTACCTGTAGCTTTCCGAAAACGAGGTCGCCAGCTGTAGGCTGGATGTAACCCGACACGCGGTACTGGTGCTGCGGGTCACGGACAAAGGGCGTTGTTTTGGGGGAAGCGACCAAGCCACAAACGGCTTCACGGCTTCACGGCGAACCGCTATTCACCCAGGCAGAGCCCTTTCAACATGGCTCTACAGAAATAAACAACAGGCGTTACTTCAAACCCTAGTTCAGCTATGCGGGTCTGTCCTTCTGTGTGTACCTTCTTTTGCTCGTTTTAAAAGGGGCCACCAAAAGGAAAAAACAAAGTCATCTCCGAAATACCCCTAAACAAAACCAAGAACCACCTACTATGACCGGGCCGCAAGAAGGAAGGGGTCTTGGCCGCATGAACATCAAAGCCCAGGCGGGCGCTTGCCCCTTCGCTTACTTCCATTTGCTTAAGTCCCCTGGGAAAAAAACAACAAATATTAAAAATAAATCACTAGTGAAATTGATTCCCTTTAAAACCAACAGGTGAAACAACAAAAACATCGGCAAGGGAGCTTAGGCAAGGCGAGCTTCGGCAAATGAGGTGAGGCAAGACGTAAATGGGAACTTGCCTAACATATTCAGCACTTACTTCCTTTTGCTCAAGTCCCCTGAAAAAAAAGGTCCACTAGTGAAATCGATTCCAGGTGAAAGAACAAAAAAGGGGGAAACAAAAAACGATACAATCCGTCTTCAGCAAATGGGAGCTTCACGGCAAGGCGCCAGCTTTGGGCAGCGGGATTCGCTTCACGGCGCGGATGGCGTCGGTGGCTTTCACCGAGGCCTTGAAAACTGCGCCGAAGGAGCCTTCGCCTGCGGTTGGCGGAAGGCGGAGGCGGGGGGTGGGGTGGGGGTGGGGTGGGGTGGGGTGGGGTGGGGTGGGGAGGCGGGGGAGGCGAGAATGACCCGAAGCCAAAGCCATCCCCGATTTGGTCCAGAATTGAGAGGTCAGAATAAGCTGGTACCGTGTCTTTTCTCTTTTTTGTTTGTCTATTTTAGTAAGGGAACCCTCCCCCCGAAAATAGTTGGTAAAAGGGCACTACTGGGGACCTAGCCTATGGTTTCCTTTAAGATAAGATAATCTCCAGGTTCACTCTTTTCCCTGCGGAGCACCGGCAAGTGATTCGGCAATTCAGACAACTTCCTCTGCAGCGGAACTCGCTGGTGCAGAGTAGGGAATGAGTTTGGAATCCACCCATCCCCTAAGCAAGCCACCAGTTGGATGGCTTGTAAGGGTTGCTTCCTCATTCCCAGCTGAGCACCAAGGGAAGGCGGCTGACTCGGAGTTCATCTTGGTGCGATAAGCTTGGTTGACGTTGAAAGGGGAGCAAAAAATTAAATTTTAGCAGTTAAGTGAGAATTTCCCACTAAACCACAATAAGCAAAAATGTAAAATGTTTCCCAACAACAACCATGTAGGGTATGAGGGAATGCCCCGAATTCACCAGGCCGCGTGTTTTTTATTTTAAGGGAATCAGGTTCATTCCCTTCCCTGCGGAGCACCAGTAAGTAATTCCTTTGCAATTCAGACGGCTTCCGCTAGCTGTTTGTATAGCCACATACCGAAGTTGGAACACAAACTCCGAAGAACGGCTGGAACCTCAACACCTTCGCAAACATATCTTAAATGTGATCATTGCAGAATCCGATGGTACCCAGGCAACCAAGTGGAATTATCAAAGGGGCAACTGTTCCTGAAATGAAGCAAACAAAGCTGAACCGGCTGCGACCTTGCGTATAGCAAATATCCAACCCGGGATCCCGATAAAGAACTGCAAGCGTACTAGCAATCTAGTAAGAAGGCTGTCCAAAGTTTCAGTCATAATGCCCGTGATAAAGTGAACCTGGTTGTTATTAAACACTTGAACGATTGCGTTGATATCCCCAACTTCGGCGTCTCTCTCTGTCTCTCTCTCTCTCTCTCTATTCTCTCTCTTCTCGAGCAGTTGCAGAACTGAACACGAGTAGTTGTGGGCGAGAAACTAGGGAAAAACAACATGTAAAGCCTGAATTTGCAGGTTCGCCCTTAACAACCTGAAACTTGAGAATTCCACCGCTCTGTAGGCGTTTCTTTTTTTATGGCTTCCTGGAATCACTCGAAACCCGTGGTGAAACTAGATGTCACGGGCCCCAAACCAGAAGCTGCTGGCAGTTTCACCTTGCCAAAAAGAACGAACCAGCTCCCCAAAGCAAAAAGGACCCTCCATTTCCAAAAGGCAAAGGGGTTTTCCATCAGTTTTTGCCGTTGGACCTCGAAACGGAATCGCCATTTTCCGGGCCCAAGACGCCTAGGGTGGTACGTATTTTCCAACTTGGAAGGCCCCTAGGAAGCCTGAGAGGGTCCCAAAGCAGGAGATGCCCAATTCGAGAACACTAGACCCCACACGTTGCGTTGATTTGGAGCGCCCGAGCATGGCAGAAAAGGGCCCAAGAAGAAACACTTTCTTGGCGAGTTGTCCATTTGGGCGGTGTATTTTTCAGGGGACCCCCAAAATGGCGTCGGCTTTCCTTTTGGGTTGCCTTTAAAGCCACAAAAAGGGGTACCCTTGACAAAAGACACACCCCTTTTAAGTTTGAAGCCAGCAGGACCCATTGAACACTTGGAATGTGGTACGTTCACCTTTACATGGCCAAAGGTGTCTTGTTGCCGTTTTTTCATACGGTGGCTTTGCGCATCGCAAAAAAAAAAAACATGGCCAAAGGTGATGCTGCATACGCAGCTCAGCAATCTGCTCCACTGCTGGAATGCCCACACTGACCCTACAAGAGTACAAGTGGCAAGGCAAGTTCAAGACGAGTGGATGCAAGACTGATCAAACCATGAGCTATTTCCTGTCGGTGAATCCAGATGATAGACAGGAAAGAGATGGGTGAGGAGAAGATAGAATGGATAATTCTTACATAGAAATCAGCTATTTGAATCATTCCCGGAAATTGCATTTTCTACACAAAATGTTCCAGCCTCTAAAGGGGATGTCATTCCAAGGAACATGAGGCCTCGTCCCGTTTGAACCGCGACGAAAGGAACGCCCAGCATAAGACCCTCCAGCTATCAGCTGTTTGAATCCTTCCCGGCAAAAGAGCTGCCTCGTCCCGTTTGAACCGCGACGAAAACAACACCGAACGCCTAGGACCCTCCCGAGATCGTAGAAGTCCTGGATCTTCCCTGGATTGTCGATGTTGATGCCTGGCGCAAACCCCACTTCCGCTAAAAAGGGAAACGAATCCGACCAATCCCAAAGTTCAAGCATTTGGAAGGTCCGGGTTCCCTCCGAAAGGTCTCTGAATCCCAAAAAAAATCAAACGGACACCCCCAATTTGAATCCACCAGACTTCTGCTTCCTTTGGGCGATTACCAGTCGGCACCCGCCAGGCGTGCTGGACCCCAAAATCATCACGACGAAGCCAACCACTTGGAGTTCCTAACTTGATTGAAAGCCCCTTGATTTGGCAGTGCCTTTGGCTCTTCAACGACTAAGGTCGTCAAACGCAAAAATGGCTCAACCTTGTCCTTCCGATTCTTTGTCGAGCGGTGCGTAAGCACCAGAGGACCTGCGTTCCCTCTGAAGTGTGGTGAAGTGCAGGGTGGCCTGTGACAAATGCAGTGGGCACCAGTGGCGCTTTGGGGGGACCGGGCGCGGGGACCGGGCGCGCAGGGCAGAGAGACGAATCGAGTCGATATGGGATTTTCGGAGCTTGATGGTCATAGATATTGATGTCAAATTTTCGTGCCCCGTTGGCTTCTCCGGAAGATACGTGCCGACATGTGCATTCTCTGCCAAACTTGGCCTGCGACGAAGTGCCTGCGATATCCAAAGTCAAAGGAAAAGCCCTCGCTCAGCAGCGAGGTCCCCAGCTCCATGGCTGAGGCTTTGAAGCGTTCATCAGCCCACATGTTGAAAACTCCCTCAGTATCTGGCTTGGAGCCAAAGACATTCCCATTTCTATGCTGCAGCCACTAGGACGACTGCCATGAAAGGCTTCTTCGAGGAGAGGCTCAGCATGGCGTATACATAGCCTTTGTTGTCCCATAGATCTGGTCGGCTAGCCTTATGCAATCGTTTGTCACTCAGGGTATACACTTCAGTCATCTTCCATTTGCTTGAGTCCCCTGGAAAAAATAGAAAACAACAAATATGTCCACTAGTGGTAGATTCCCTTTAAAACCAGCAGGGAAAAAAAAACAAAATCTTCTTGAGCAAATGGAAGTCATTGCTACCCGGGCCTGTCGGTATTGCCATGCTGGCTCCGAGACCGTGGTACTGTTAGCAGTACTTGACACTAGAGATTTTATTACTCCCTTTTTTCTCCGTTTCTCGGAATCGCTTTGTCTACCTCTCAGCCGAAAAACCGCTCTCCTTTCCCGCCTAGAGCTGCTGAAGTCACGACGTCGACATCATCCTCGGATCCTGCCGGAAGAAAACCGCTGAATCCCCACCCTGTCCCCAATTCCATGTCTCTAGGCTTCGCCACAACATGGAGCTACAAACCATCTCTACTCTTGGTATGGTAGCAAAAAACTTAGTTTTTTGCAGACCCCCAGTAAAATGAACAGAACCCCCCAAAAAGCATGCCAAGAACAGTGAAGAAACGGAAGACCGCCCACTGCCAACTGCCAATGCCCGTCAAGGCAATCCTCATGTATACCGGTCTTAGTCAAGAACAACCCAAGAGTCGCAGAAAAGGTGCATAATTGTTGTTGGACGAGTATCGAGGGCAACTCTGTCTTGATCAAACCGTGGCCCAAGAAACAATAGTCACTGCTAGAAGCAAAGACAGAACCGCCCACCCGAAAACACATGCGCTCAACACTTACTTGAACTGTGTGCATTTCACGCTGACTCACACAAACAAGATCCAAACAACCTTGGGGATTGCTCTATAGCTGCATCTGACCATGCCAGATAAGCAAATTGCATCCTTCAAATTGACGTCGCCACGCAGAAAGCCCAAGAGAATCACTGGGTCACAAAATCCATCTCAGAATTCTCTCCGTACCATCAAGAGGCCAGCTTCATGGTCAACAGCGAAGACCGACATCTGGTCACCAGAGAGCTCCGAAAGTGTGATTTGGAAGTCCTATGCCCTGACCCCAACAGAATATAAACGAGCCGCAGACTGGTGACTCAGTCCTGCTGCAGTTGGATTCTCCCGTCCTTGTATTTGGCTATCTCTCTTTAGAAGCCCAACATATTGTTGGTTTTCCCTTTTGGTTTCCCCCCAAAAAAACACTCCATGTGGCTGAACATGGATTGAGATGCAGTGGTTTCCTGGCGCTTTCCCCAACATATTGGCTCATATCCTCCATGAAGTGCCACATTCAAAGAACCAATGCTCTGGGGTCAGGTCGCACATCAAAACTTTTCATGGGGTCGCTATGAAACAGTTGCTCAGCCAGTTGGATCCCTTGCAGCCCGTGTTGCTCCTGATTGTCCGCCGCCGGCGTTCAACACAATCCCTCGAGCTTCCTTGGCGAACACGGGGCGACATTTTGGGCCCTGACCAGAAATCGGGGGATTCCACGCGAAGCGCCACTAAAAAAGAGGAAAGGGGTGGGGTGGTCACGCAGGCCTAACACGTACTTCTGTGAGCCATCTTTGAATCCATTGAATGCCTCCGCGACACTTCCACGAATAACAAGCATTCTCTGTTAAACATGGAGTTGCCGGCCTCTGGTCCCCCAAGCGATTGAGTGGATGCATCAAGAAGCTATCGCCCAGCTGGTTCCCTTAGATGCCGCAGTTCCTTTTGAAGCAAAGCCCTGGAGAAGTTGCGCCCTCCGTTTTCCCGAGCTCCCACTTGCAGAAGGCCTTTCCCTGGATCGGGGAGGAAGTGTTGGATAGGAAGGCATTTTGGATGAATTGCAAGGCAAGCTGAAGGTGGACCGATACTTGACTTCTCAGGTGATGTGACAGGAACGTCGGCAGATGCTTAGAGTTTCATGTTGGCTGCATGCTACCCAATACCCGGAAGATGCATGTGGCATCTCTGTTGCCCAAGTAACACGACAGTTGTATCATGTGTCTGGAAAAGTTGATCATCTCAAAGTGGTAGGGTGCCAGTTGAACTTTCATGCAATCAGTACCAGAGGCGGGGCTCCCAATTTTGGTTGGACAAAAATATAAAAACTCCTTCGAAGACGGCCTTTTGCAGGTTGGCAATGCTGGAATCCCAAGGAGTCCACTGGGCAATGTTTCTTCTATGTCACTTCAAGGAGGTGCATGCGGGCGCGTGGACGCATGCGCAGTATATGGACAAACTTGTATATGTCTGTGTCCCCCCCCCCCCCCGCACACTTGGGGCTGCCACATCCAAGTCTAAAGGGAAACCAACAGTTCCTTCTATGAAGAGCGTTCAATTTGAAAAACATTTGTTTCTAGATCTGGGCTGGTAGGCATTTCTCTCAGGCTTCAAAACAGCCAAGCTGAGAAGGCCAGGTGTGCAGGGATCTCATACTGCTACATCGCTGACAAGTAGGGAGCTCTCAGTTCAGCGCTGAGGTGCCACAATTTGCCGAGAGGCAACCCTGCTTTTATCAGTGGAGTTAAGCCTGTCATTGGTGGATTATAACCCAGGTGGGTATACCTTCCTTGGCGAATCGAACATCCAAGTACCCTCCGACTTCCAAAAAAACCCTGGATTCCACCCGCTACATTCAGCGTTGTTTTTCTCTTTTTTTTCAGACCTCCCCAGAAACTAGGGAAGAAGCGGAACGGACACACGCGGATGAGTTCCGTCTCTTCCCGAAGACCAGGCAGAAGGTCTCTCTTCACTTCCCACAGGGGTTCCTGGTCACTGGTGTTCCCCTTTCAAAGTTGCAATTGACTACCTGGAGTCTCCATGACCCTTACAAAATGGGGTCATTACCCTGAATAATGGGTTCATGACCCCATTTTTAAAGGGTCATGGAGACTCCAGGTGGTTGTTTCCCCGGATTTTTCCCACTTTTCGACGTTCCAAAAAGCGAAATGAAGGATCTGAAACCCGGCCCAGCGGCCGCTTTCTTCTTCTTCTTCTTATCCTTGGGCATGCACCGCGAGGTGGAGGACTTCGGCGAAACGTCTGAGGTGGTGCCCGGACCTGGAATCCACCCCCGCGGTGGGCCCGGTGCAGGTCGTACGAAACAAAAACAACCTAAACTAGGTCCTCCAGTGGAGAGGTTAGAGTAAGGGTACCGTTTCTTTTTTCTGCTTGTCTATTTTACTAGGGGAACCCTCCCCCAAAAAAGGTTGGTAAAAGCGCACTACTGGGGGACCTAGTAGAACAACAAGAAAAATGCCGCCCCTACTAACATAAAATATAGCTCACACGAACATTCCAGCGTAAAACCTCGTGGTTGAATTGTTTCGGAGCTGTGACGTGTGCCCCCTTCACCAACATTTCAGTGAAGCAGGGTCGATTGATCAACGTTTACTAGCTCTAAGCAATCGACATGATTTTTGGTGGTATCCATGGGCCCATGTCGCACTGAGAAGCATAAATCTAAAATTGAGCTACCGCACATTCAGGGTTGACATCTCTCCCAAAAACGACAAACAATGCGTAAACAAAAACGCGAGCTTCTATCGAACATTCCACACTTGCCACCTGGGGGAAAAAGCAACACTTACACGCTGAATCCCGCCAAATACTGCTCAATTAAGCTCAGTCTTGCTGCGTTCTGAATTCGCAGAACGCAACCGGCCATACTGTAGGTGGAGAAACTCCTGCACCAGTTGGTAGATGGTAGAGTTTTATCCGTCCCCAGTGGGTAGAGTTTTATCCATCCACAGTATCGCCCTGATTGGCGTAGGCATGTTGGTAAGTACTGAGGATGGCCTGATGTTGAAGAAGCCCACAGGCAGACCACGGCAATGAAACCGACCAATTCAGCGCTTGATTCACAGTTTGGCAGGAATTCAGCTAGGCAAAGCTCTAAGACTCCAACTCAACAGCGCATTGCACCTCTAAACCAACACCAAATAAACAACACGAAGACACCAAAACACACTTGTTGTAAGGCATTCCCTTCCGGGATCTGCAGCCGAGATGCTTGCGAGTTCGATATTCACATCACCTGACAATGGTCAACGCTTGGCTAAGCTCCTCATGATGCTTGCTTCTACTTAGATCATTATGAATAATTATCAATGAGGCCTTGATACAATCGTTGTTAAATCTGGAAGTAGAACCACCTACCAAAATGGCCTGTAGGGGTTTGGGCACTGCATTTGCGGGTGCATGAACACAATAATGATGGCGTCAAGCAGGGCCATGTTTGTTCGGTTTACCCACAAAAAATCCCGTTGCGCGATGACCTTTTGATTGTGGTGCCTCTCCCACACGTTTCGTGAAGAGAGTTCAAAGCTGACGTTGCTTGCTTGCTTCACCCTCAGTCGCCTGAAACATGTGGATGTAGTTTGGCGACCCCCGACAATGACATGCAGTTCCAAAGACTGAAACGGGTAAGCAAGGCGGGAAAGTGAGCACTTTGTGACAGCTCGGAGCGGAGCGTGCTCCTTTTGCCTCATGTTTGAAGCACCACTAACACTTGGTGCCCATTTCTGGCATCGCCGGTTTTATGCAGCCCCCTCCTAAAATTGAAAAGAACCAACAAACAGCAAAACGCACACCTTGCCAAGAACCGTCAAGGTAAGTATGGCTGATAAAGGAAAAGTATCGCGTCTAGGTCGGCGTGAATTGATGAATTCAATCCAAATCCAAAGAACAACAAGTTGAACTTCACCCCCCCATGCAGTGATGCCTTTTCTGACCAAGAAACCCCAACTCCCCCCGAATCCTATCGAGCCGAGCTGCTGGCGCTTTCTACGGAGCCACCATCACTCTGCGTTGATTGCTTCGCCTCTATGACCTCACTGCAGCTCCGGTGGCTTGACATTTCCGTCCATGCATGGCCAAATGCCCAACTAGGTCCTCCGGTGGAGAGGTCAGAATAAGTTGGTACCATTTCTTTTTTCTGTAGTCTATTTTAGTAGGGACACCCTCCCCCAAAAAACGGCAAAAGGGCACTACTAGGATACCTAGCGAAGAAATGGTATAAGTTGTGGGTCTGCTTCTATACTCCCCGGGGTCTCTTCGACTTGCCAACACTTATTTTAGCATTGCCAATTCTAATTGTGGTATAGACTTGCTCTTAAATTCCCAGTACTCAATTGAATATTGCCAATTCTAAATTTAGTATTACCAGGCCTTTCTCAGCCTTACTCTCAGATTCCTAGTCCCCCCCCCCCCCCCGCCCACAAAAAAATGGTCATGTGTTTAAATCTTGTTGCGCACTGGTTTAATACAGAAGTTATTTTGTTGTTGATGGCGTGGGGAGTCCTGATGCCGGATTGGTTTATTTGTTTCGGCACGTTCCGGCAAAAACAGCCCAGGAATGTCAAGCGGCCACAACATGTTCGCATTAGTATACTCCCCTAGCTATGAACAGAGCCTCGGATGCGGAATGTGGAAGTAAGAGCCACGTACAGTTGGCTGCAACATGTTGGTTAGACGGGGGCGTTACCCGGACCTGCAACATCAATTAAAGGGACTGCAAAAGGAAGATGTTACATTGCATTCGTTTTGCGGCACGTTCTCCTGAATTGACACGCTCCAAGTCATGCTTCAGTCCAAGTCGGAGTGCGCGCGGCTGACAGGCGCGAGGGAACGCGGATATTCACTTGCTGGAGGTCGACAAATCAACCAGGTCTTTGAATGGGTTTTGGGCCTGATTGGGACGGTCGGTCTGTTAGTAGCGCGGCGTCTTGAGACGTAGCAGCAAGCACAGGTGTGTATGCGCGCGTGGTTCACGGGGAGGCTTTGGTGTGGGCTTTGTAAAACCTCGGCTCTGGTTCACCTTGTTGCCTCGTGCAAGCACGCCACGTCTACAGATTCATTGAGAATACACGGGCCACATTGATCGCACCAATCCCCGACACTCTTTCCAATCTTGATTGATTTTGCAACCTCCATGCAGGAATGTGCAAATCCGCGGTAGCACAGAGCATCTCGGCCACCGACGGACACATCCCCCCAAAAACAAAAACATCACGCTGGGTAACAAAGCGACGCGGGGTGGGTAGGGCAAACATGTTGTCTACCCAATACCTGAGAACTCCGTCGTGCTAAAATAAACGCCGTTGTGATTTTGGTCAGGAACTTTTGCCGCCGCAACAACAAACGCTGGTGAGGTCAAGAAACGCCAGCAGTGTGCAAGAAACGCCCGTTGGCCCTCTGGCTGATCCAAATCAGCTCAGGGCCTCGGCGCAAAGCAGTATCAGAAGGTAGCAACATGAAGCGCTGAACACTGAATTTCGACCCCTTGCAAGGCGGCTTTGGTCGAGTGACATCCGGATCACTCCTTAGCGAAGATTATTTAAAGAACTGCATCAAGAAAGCGTTTGCGATGCTTGGGCTCGAGTTCCGCCGTTGGGACGCGCGTTTCCGCCGTTGGGACGTAGGTTCCCGCCAGGCAAGTCAACACATTTGGCGGCAAAGCAAACGGGTATTCCAACAGGTCGCATCAAGTTTCACCAACTCACAAAACCTAGCGCAAAACCTGGCATAGTCGGGTCCGAGGTGCGCAGATCTTGCAAAGCAGCCCACGTCAGGCAAAATGCCCACCAATCGCCAAAACGCCGTCGCAAATTGAAAAACGCCGCCACAGCCCGCTCCCCTTCGAGTTCCGCCTCTGGACGGCAAAAGGCGCCTGTTCGAGTCTCGGGCTGAAATTTTCGCCTTTTGGAGGTTATAGGTATGTTGCTCCATGTTTTCCATGTAACGGAACATGTAGATCGCTTCAGATTTCTTGTTGACTCCGAAAATCCAGCAAAACAACGCGGGGGGGGGGGGGGGGAAGTACTTCTCCCGGTGGCCCCGAAGAAAAACAAAACAAGCCCCTAGGAAAAAAAAAACAAAACAACACGGGTCATCCCTTCCCCTGGTCTCTAAAACGAGAACAACAAACCACCGCCGAATGTCCGGCCCGTAATTACCCGGACATCCAGACAAAAATGGGCGCTTACTTCTCCCGGTTGCGTCGGAAACCGCCCGGACACCGGTTTCACCGACATATGGCCAGCGGCCAAGTCTTCATCGTCCAACTCAACGGCCTCCGTCTCCCCGGCGCGCTCGCAGGCATCGATGTGGCTCACAGACTCCGAGGTCAACAGCCGGCCCGTGTCCTGCGCTCGAAAACGCGAGTTGCTCGGCGCTGGTGCGCGCCTTTTTTTGTTGGTAGGGCTCGAAAAGAACCACCTGGGGAGCTCTCTTGGGCTGAAAACTCACTTCCGAGTTTGACTGGATGGGCCGAAACAAGTACATCCAAACTTTGGGTTTACCACTACAACTTCCCCAACAATGACTAAAGTCCAGGAACTCAAGAAGCAAGGAAAATGCCCAGGAACTTCCCAACCATTGGAAAACATCTTCATTTGGCGGTGTTTCCTGAGGCATCGAGGGACCCCCGTTTGACCCTGGCAAAATAAAACCGCTGGCGAGGTGCGCATCTTCTGCCAAGGGGACCCAGTTCCCTCAGCAGAGTGCAAGCGCAGGTTGTTCGCGCGCGCGCAACGCAAGTGATAGACTCACTTCCCTTGGACGCAACCGTTCGACCGCTTGGCACATTCGTGGCGCCCAGTTTTCCGGGTATCCATCTTCTGGTTTGAAGGGAACACATTCTTGGCCATATGTGGCCTATTGGAACAAAGATGACCCTGGTAAATGGAAGAAACCCCATCTAAACTAGGAATCGCCCTCTAGTTTTTTCAGCAGAAACCAAAAAGGACACCTATGTTCTTGGCCCATGGGAGGCCCAGCGCAAAACCCACAAGCCCCACCTTGCGAAGTCAAACTACCCTTGCCCCTTCAGGTCACCACCTCTTTAAGCCTCACGTTCTCAGCCCGCGCTTGTGCGGCAGTGCGTGCGGGCTGAGTGTCAGCACTTCTCGTGGTGTGTGTGTGTGTGTGTGTTGCATTGGTGCTTGCATTGGTGTACATACTTGCATATTGCATGCGTGGATGTATACGGTATTTACATATATATATATATATATATATGTGTGTATATATATATACATGTAATTTGCTCACGCTCGCGCCTCCCGAAGATCCACTCTGTCAGTAATGTCAGCTTCAGCTTTCAGAAGACAGGAAAGCATTGGGGCAATGTTCAGCTTCGAGAATCTCGATAGTTTGATCTTAAAATATAAACATCCTGCCCGACGCTTGCCATCTGTTTGCCAAGAGCATGTTGATATATATTTATATATATATATACATATATATATATATATATAAGATTGTCAAGCCACACTAAGGAGCAATATGTGGAACTTCGTTATTGCAGGCTTAATAGTGGCAGTGCCACCACACGCAACAGTGCTAAACAAATTTCAGTTGAGTAGAACTAGTAGCACGTAACGCAGCAACATTGAGTATAGAACAGGCCAAACCGAATTCTCGCAAGTGAGTTTTAGTCTTGACGTGCAGCTCACCTGACAGTTATTTCAAAGGCTGGGTTGATACCAGGGTGTATATATATATAGAGAGATATGGACGAATACATTCAGCAATTAATTGTTGATAAAAAAAAAAAACGTAAGTGTTTGGATGTGCCAAGTTGTGTGTTGTTTGTTTGATATTGTAACATTCACTTGGCTGGTCCTTGCTCAGAATGTATGTAGAAAACGAGTAATAAACATCATCCACATGTACACTCATTTGCTACTCGTTTTCACACTAGTGGACTTCGCCTCGGACAATGCTGAACAAAAACGACAACAACAGAGACCAACAGAAGCCAAAATGAACCAACATCAACACCAACTGGGAACTCTCTTCCCGAGTGGAAGGCCCAAATAAAGTCCAAACTTGTTATTTACTCAACTGGTCTTCCAAACAAATGGCTCAAGTCCATGAACTCAAGTGAGACAAATAGCCATTCAAACAACAAAAAACAGTTCGGCGCCCACCCAACGTCTCTCCGTCCTGGACGATCCCCGGCAGATCTCCAAAGCCAGCGTCTACATTGCTATGTCCCTGGCCAGAAGCAAAGGGCCGATCGGACCAGACGCTGCAGACCAAATGCTGATGGACAAAATCCATTTCGCACCTACTAGGTCCGCCAGAGAGGTTAGAATAAGGGTACCAACTTTTTTTCCGTAGTCTATTTTAGAGGAACCCTCCCAACCAAAAAAGGATAAAAGGGCACTGCTGGGGGACCTGGCCTAGGATGGATGACATCTCACTTAAGTACCGGGGTTTACATATCAAATAAACACGCCTAGTTAAATGTTATTGAACATCAGTTAAACACAGCCTGCCAGGCCAAGTTAATATGAACATGGCGTACTTGGTGTTCGATTCGCCGCCAAGTTAGTTAGTTGTAATGGTAATCGTTCGGTGATAACCCGCGTATAAGTCCCCCGCTCAGTCGAGTTAACCCTGTTTGTGGCCTATAACCCAGGTGGATAACCCACTTACTGACTTGGATGAACATCCAAGTAGGTTGGATGAAACCCTACAAATATTGGGACAACCATCTACCAACTGGTGCGAATTGGACTTTGTCAACACCCACAGTTTGGCATGGCAATCATGCCAGGACCCCTTTTGTTCAAGAGTTGTGTGTTCAAAAAAAGGATTGGAGGAAAGATCTGTAGACATGATGGTAATCTACACTGGCACTCCCCAAATCTGCAAAAGGAAGTAACTCCAAAAATTCGCCTCGGCCCCAAAGGGGCCAAGGGCGCTCAGATCTCTTCTCCAAAGAGAATCTTCGCTTTTCCCCCAACCCCCTCCCCAACCAAAATTTTGCCGGGCCGCCCCCCCCCCACCCATGTTGGCTGGCCCAAAATCCTGTCCGGCGGGCCTTGAAATTTTCGGGGTTCGTCGGCGTCCAGCTCCATGGGTCCATTTTTGTCCGAAAATGTGCTGACAATTGCGCAGCAACCCACCCCCCGGCGCATCTCACTAGGCCGGCCCCTGAGACTAATCTCAAGCTATGCCAGCTACTAAGCCTGTCTCACCCCTCCTGGCAGCCCCAGCCCCTTCGGCGCAGTCTGAGACTGGTCTCAAAGTATGCCAGCCTGAGACTAGCCTCGCTGGCGCAGACTGGCCTCAGGCCCAGCCCAGCCAGCAACTCGCCACCCAGCCTCAAGTGTGTATGAAACAGGCCTTGCCCATCCAGCAACCCGCCCAAGCACAGCTCAGCCCAGCCCGCCCAGCCCAAGCCAGCAGCGTAGTCCGGCTGCCCGGCAGCCAGCAACCGACCCATCGCAGCCTCGTGGCTGAGACTAGCTTCAGGCCCAGCCCAACCAACAACCCACCTCAGCCCAGCCTGCCCAGCCGAGGCCCCGGCGCATCTCAGCGCATGCCAGCCACAAGGCCGGCCCCCAGCTCCCCAGCAGGCTCAGCAGAGTGTGCCAAGGTCAGGTTTGTCTAACGTGTCTGAGACTGGCCTCAGGCCAACGACCAGTCTCACGTGTCTGAGACTTGTCTCAAGCTACGCCAGCTACCAAGCCTGTCTGACGTGCCCTAGCCCCCCAGTCCGGCTGCCCAAGCAGCTCAGGCTGACCAGGCCTTGACCTCCTGCTCGTGTCTGGCCCCAAGTCATCCAGCAGGCCCAGCCCCTTCGGCGTCTCAAGGTAAGCCTGAGACTAGCCTCAGGCCCAGTCCCTCAGCCCGCCTGCTGGCGTGTCTATTGGGGGTTGTATTCCCACCATGTACCTGTCTTGGGCTGAGCAACCGAGCAAGAAATGTATGTCATGGCAAGCCGCCAGCCACGTGAAATGGAGGTGCCCAAACACCCAAAGTTGGTCTTGGTTGTTCAGTGACACCAATTATTGTTCCCCTTTTTATGGAGGCCAAGCCCCACTAAAAATGCTCATCCCCAGAAAGAGGTCCTTTTTTTTCCAAGGGCACTGAGCAGCTGAGATAGTCTTGGTTTTGGATTTCAATCCTTCCGAGCAGGACGGCTTCCGAACATCGAACTAGCACGGGCGAACTGGTGCGGTCACAAGCTTTCAGTAGGATTCGGACCTTCCCAACACTGGATTTCGGTGTTCCTGACCCTTCCCTCAAACTAGGCTGGGCCGAGGCGGGCAACGCGAAGCGTTTACAATTGAAGGTTTGCAGCATTTAGGTGCTTCTGCAGGCTGGAGAAGATTTCTGGAGATCTGAGGGAGCTGGTGAGGCTGAGTCCCTTGAATTCAAACCATCCCAAGGGAAACTACCGAAACATCTGGCCCGGGTGATTTTCAAACCCACCAAGGGGCACACAGAAAGGAGGCTGTTCTCCTGAATGGCACGGAACTCCGATCCGAACCTCGTGCAATGCACCAAAAACAGCATTCGGGTACCCCTATTTTGACACATACCCATCCATTGCCTTGCAATCTTCAAAAATCGCCCTTATGATATTTTGAATCTCTGCTCTTCTGCTTCTTCCCTATCATCCAATTTCGATAAAGTTCGCCGCGGGTGACCAAACAATTCTACTGGCACACCACAGCATTTATATCGGCCACACCATGCATGTGGGGTCGTATTTTTGATGGTACCCTTTAGGGTTGCTTTGTGGGGAACCTAAAAAGGAAACCGCACATAAGGTTCACATCCCATTCAGACCGTGTGCCATGTGCTTCTGCCAAAGGGGCGAAGCCTGAAGCTCGGCCGCCCACTTGAGCAACACAACAGGCTGAAGGCGGGGAAGGGTGGGGTGTTGGGCGGGCCTTCCCTCAGCCTTCGCGGGGAAACCCAATCAATGCTCGGCTCAGACCTGTGGAGAATGTTCTCTGACCAGTTTAGTTCGGGGTCGTAGAACAAGGCGGGCTCGCTGGATTCGATCGGGGCGGACAGTACGGGGATGTGTGCTTTTGGAGGATATCCTGATTGAACCTTGGGTAAGGGAAAGTAAAAGGAAACTGAGTCCATTTTGGGGGGTCCCAATCCCTGTGTCGCAAGTCGCACCAGTTTTACCCGGCGCCGGCAAGGTCACACGACCTCGGATGGGCATCTGCTGCAGCCAGAGGACAAATAGCTGGTGTAGTACTGGTAGCCGCTGGGGCAACAGCAGTACTCCCCGCAGGCTTGCTCTCCCTTGGTGTACCAGCACCGCGCCCAGTCCTCACAAGGCGATTCAAACCCGTGCAACACATATTTAGACCCAACCAGGTCATTCAAAACCTGTCTGGAAACTTCGGGTCTGGTCATCCCCAAGTGTTGCCTGCCCGACGAGCCCCAACCCGTCCTCCGAGCCCGGGATGGGAATGCGGTCCTGACATTCGTCAAGCTGCCTGTTGCAGAAGCCCGGGTTCACTCGCTGGAACTTCAGTCGCACGGGCCCAGTCTGGAGGCTCTTCGAGATCATGGCTTTTGTGTCCTCAAAGGACCTGACGCGCAAACAAATACAAACAGCAAGAGGACACGGGAAAAAACAAACACATGACGTGTTCCCTGTTTACGATTTGTGGTAATTGAGTGAGTTTAAATCCTCCTGCCCAAATGTCCCAAATTTTATGAACCATGGACAAATCAGGAAATTGGGGTACGCATTGCAATTATATTAGTTTGGGGCCCCTTTGGTGGACTTGTTTCGGTGGCTTTGTCTCCATCGACTTGGGAGGGGAAGCCCCTATGACAACTCAGGGCATTTTTGGCATAGCTCACGCGGACATGGATTTTAATAGGGCAATGTCTGGTCCACTAACCACTTCTGAGCTGGTTCTCGAACTGGGACAGTCTTTATTTGAGGTACCTTTCTTGGTGGTTTTAAGGGGAGACCGAAGCAAACCATTCTTGGGGTCCCCTCAAAACGACCCACCCAATCGAAATTCATCGCCTGTGCAAAGTGGGGACTCCATGGACCGCTACGATCATGGACCCAGAGAGGGAGCTCTCATAAGCGAAATCCTCGCCGGTGACGACTGCGCCGCACTGCACCTGCGAATGGGTGGGATGTAGCATCTCCCCGAAACCAGAGAATCAAAGCTTGGTGTACCAGGGATTCGCTCAGTTGCCTCTTCAAAAGTTGTGTTTTCCGTTGACACCTCCACTTTCGGAGGTTTCGAAAAGGGAAATAAAAGAAAACCCGGTCACCTGGTCTACCCAAACCTTTAAAGAACTAACAAAGCCGATGTCCGCACCAGTTTCTGAAATTGGGACTCTTACTAACCTTCAGGCTGCTTGCGCCACTTGATCCATGCAGTTGCGCCACTCACTGAGCTTGAAACAGCAGAGCTGTGCTACCAGAGTGTGCCGCGCAAGGTGTTTCCCAAGCTGGCCAGGCGCAATTGCAAGAAGACACGCTGAAGCAAGGGGGCACCGCGCAACAAGTGTGAGTTCTTGCAGCGTCAGATGCCTGAGTCCGCAGCATCAGCCTTAAGGGAGCAGTTTGAAGCCGCAAGCTTCATTGAGAACCTTGAAGAGCTTGATGCCAGGGAAGAGCGGTTGAACGAAACCATCCTTTCATGGAAGCAGACACTGACACCCTCGCAACAGGTTCTACAGGCACGACAGCCTCCCCACACTCACCTTGCCTCGCAAGTAAGAGATAGAGGCAAGCAGGACTGTGTTGACAGTGTTGGTTGTGATGAACCTCGCAAACGAGGCATGATTGACAAACAAAAGCATCTTCATGTCCCGCAGAAATGCGCGAGGTTCACGATAGAGATCTGCTTTTGCATAGCATGCAACCTGGCCAGTGACCCCTCCACGTATGCCCTCAAGACACCCAAAGTCTACTGTTTGTTTTTAGCGGTTGCCACAAGCAAGGGGACTTCCAAATGCACCTTGAGAGCTTAGCGGAGGCTACCTTGCGCTTGGGGATCACCTTGATATGACTGACAGCAATCTTGCAAAGTTCAGTCAGTGGATCAATGCAGGGTGGGTTGTTTGGCCTGTTGCTGGCGCCGCCCTGCGACGTGGCCCAGAGCCGGCGCGCTTGAAGACAGCCAGAAGGTGATTTGCCGAATTGCCATGACAGGACTCAAAGCCAAAGAAATCCGGCGCATTGCGCTTGACAATAAACTGCTTTTTGCAGCCTTTGTTGCTCTTTGCGCATGCAGCTTTTTCTGCAGCGCCGGCCCTTTTTGTGCACCCAAAAGCTCCCAGACAAAAAGATCTCCCTTCAGTTTTTGGAGGACGCCAATCGTACGTTGGCTGCGACAGAGCCCTTGTGTGCGATTACTTCTCCTTGAGCAGTTTGAAGCCCACGTGCGTTCCTGCCCACCTGTCACGTGGGGACGAAGACGTGCACTTCTTTGAGGTCCCTGTGAATTTTTGGTGAACTCTCGGGGGCTGGGTGGACGAAATTCAAAAGCTTCCATCGGGCTCTGGCTGTTGTGTAACTTGCGGAGCATCAGCGTAGAGCGGCCAACTCAGGCATGTATCGATCCCAGCACATGTACAGCAAGAAGTGCAAAGTTGGAGTAGGATGTAGAGCCCGCAGCTTCAGGCTGTTTGTGGGCTGTTCCACTGCTCACAGGGATTGTTTTTGCATGAGAATTGACTGTTTCACGCAGCTAGCGGGCACTGCCCTCAGACAGCACAAAGAGAGAGAGAGAGAGAGAGAGAGAGAGAGACTCTTACCAACCTTCACGTACTTGGGCTTTCATCGTCCCACGCTCATAAAAAATTATCGCGCACTTAGGGTGGCAATGGCCTAATCAGCAACGGTTTATCAGCACGGGTGATGTCTGCCCGCTGCCACTCCAGGATGCCCAGCGTGATGCTTTTCGCAGACGAGAAGCTGCCGATATGACTTCTGCCAGATGCAGAAGAGGGTACCAGCCGAGCGAAGACATGCGCGGTACTGAAAATGGAATAGATGAAGCCGCGACACCGCGATTATGTGAAAGGAATTCGTGCTTCTCCACGTCACCTCTGGCGGTGTTGTAACAAGGGATCGACTTATGCGGCATCGACGGTTCCAGCAAGCGTCTAGCCCATTTTAGTCGCACTCAAGCCCGTCAAGTGCCTCCAAGCAGAGAGGAATTGTCCTGGTTCGAACACTTGATACCACAATGGGTCCGGGATTTGCGTAGACAGATTCATATGCTTCCCAATTGTACTACCATGTGCGCGATCGCGCCTTGTGATTTCAATATATGTCTCATTTACAATTTGCAATGGGCATTTGTGGAAATTGAGCGGTATGCCATACGCACCGAATTCACCTTTGATGGTGCTGCCGCTGACACTGAGGACGAGGATGGTGATGGAGGCGATTCTGCTGACAATGCTGATGATGACAATTGCGCGGGAGGTGCACCTAATGCTGATGATAGGGATGCTAGAACATTGCCTGAGACAACACATAGCCACGCAGCTACTCGCAGGCGTATAGCCAAGCAGTCTGTCATGAAATCGTGGCTGCGCAGGCGCTTGACACTCATCCTGCTGAGAGCATTGTCCGGTGCAAGCGACGTTCTGATTGCGGCGTGGATGCATTTACTCGATTTTGGCAACATTGTGAATCACCCTCACTGGCATGCATAGACTGCCTCGCTTGAAGCAGCAGCATGGCAACGAACTTTGGTACAGCGGTATGCCATAAGGCACTGTCCGGTGTGTCAAATGTGAATGGAGGAACACCATTGCGGCTATGCAAAATCTTGATCACAAGAAGAAGAAATTTCATAAATGTCCCGGTAGTACTGCGGATGCGCAACATGAGTTTGGACTTTTACAACAGTCAGCTGTGCGTTGCAACAAACAACCTGGCAAGCCCAAACACTGAATGCTTGAGTTCACGGTCTATTGTAAGAACTGCTGCTTCTTCGCTCATAACACACGTGGATTTGAACGGGGACAAAGAACAGCTGCGGAAATTTGTAAGCCATGGACACGAATTCAGACCATGGCACAGAATCACACGTTGACTGTGGAGCAGAGACTCAGAGACTGCGTAGTTTCAATGGAGAGGACCTCGCGCATGAGGTCTATCGCATTTCTTGAGGTGTTTACAGTGTTTCACGATTCAGTTGCGGCATGCTTGGATTCATGTTGTGTGCCAATCTCCTCATGCGATGCAGCAGCCATCATTGAGGTGCTGTTTGCTTTTGTTTTGTTTTCTACCTGGCTGCCCGCAAATTCACTTGATGCAGCCATCATTGATATGTGGCCTGCTTCCGCATTCGCAGCTTTGCTTGTCTGTTTGGCATACGCCCTTTGAATTCCTGCAGCTGTGGGCCTGTGTGCCAGATCACACATGCTTGGCTTTCATGGTTTTACCTCAACTCACAAACACGCATGATGCAGCAGCCATCATTGATGTGTGGCATTTTACAGGGGCTGCAGTGTGGCCTCAAGGGGTTTGCTCGCAGCCTTTTGCCGTATACGTCCATATGCTATGGTTCAGTCTTGTCTACGCAAATGAGAGCATGTGTACGACTTTGACCCAATTTTCCTGCCTCTGCAGCTGTTTGCGTTGCAATCATCCCACTGTATAAGTCCGATTTCTGTATGTACTTTTGACCTGCCATTGCTAGCATGCCTGGAGTACGCTATAGCTTTCTTCTTCTTTCCCTTGACTTCGTGCTGGGCATCGTCTTGCGCTGTGTTTATGGGCTGGGGCTTTGCGCTGTGAGTCCGACAAAGTCAATATGCTCGGGGCAGAGTCCGATTGTTGGTTACAAAGCTTTCTACGCTTTCGCCTCGAATGTGCCGAGCCGGTCCGTCAGCTGCAAGGTCGCCAGCTCTGCCGCGCTGAGCTGCAGCTCAAAGGTCTCCGGTTCAGTCTCCACCTGCCGTTTCACGGGGCCCCGACTGCCGACAGCCGACAGCTGCCGACAGCCGCCGACAGCCGCCGACAGCCGCCGACAGCCGCCGACAGGTTCCCAGAACCAGACCGGGGGGGGGGGAGATTGCGTGGGGGTAGGGGTTGTTTGCCGGGAGCCCTAAAAAGCTTTAAGCAGTGAAAATGTACAGCCTCGGACTCGGACACGGCGTTGCCCCACTCGTCAGCGGCCCTGGGAATTGTCAATTCCGTCCTCAGCACGCATGCGAATGCCGAAAGGAAGAGCCCGAATCTGGACACCGTGAATCAAACAATGGGACCCTGCACACATGTGCAGCGCCCAAAACCCAGTTGACGGGACTGCTCACATGTTCGGAAACAAGTTCTGACGGTATCCCTGGAACCCTTCCGGAGCCCTGGGCAAATACCCCATAGCTTTCAGACGGGATCAAAACCCACTGAGAAGCGTTTTTTGCCTTGGATTGGACGGCTCAACACACGCTCGATGTCTGGGGCAGCAGCCCACAGCCCTCTTCTCCGTCGTGGCCGGTCTTGTAGCTCTCGCCCTGATTCACTCATCGAAATGTGTGGATCCATTGTTTGACCCCCAAGGTAAACCCAGGCGTGGTTAAAGGGAAACCCTAGGTTTAAGTCCCTGTTTGGATCTCACTCGTTTGGAAGATGTGAATGTTCAAGGCTGCTGTTGTTTTGACACACATGGAACCAACCTGGTTCTAGCTACCAGTCCTGCAGCCATTGAAACCTTTGGTCAAAAAATGGAACCCTGTCAAGGCTGCTGTTGTTTTGAAACAACCTGGTTCTAGCTACCATTCCTGCAGCCATTGAAACCTTTGGCACTGCTTTGTGGGTGGGGGGAATTAGTGGCTCCCAATGCAACATGGACAAATCACAAAAATTCGACTGCACCTCCCGTGGTTATACAGGTTTGTGTAGAGTTGTACAGGTTCTTGTAGACCTTGCTACCCCAAACAATCAGGTTGTAGAACCACGCGTATGTGTGAAATGGACCCCAATTCCTTTGGAAATTCCCTTTCGATAAATCTACATTAGGGCACCTTCGGGAAGAAAAAAAAACGCACACACTCATCCGCAACGCTTTGCGTGTGTGCGAGGGCATGGGAAATTTAGAGTTCCGTCCCCTGATTTTGTGCTTGCTGTTCTCTCGTGAGTTCCCCCATGTCCTTCCCAAATTAACCGTTGACAAAACCAAGCAATGTTCGACCGAACCGCACCGACTGAACGATATAGCTACGAAATATGGGACCAACCTGAAGGCTCACAAGCACAAACCCGGAGGACCCCGTCTCTCCTTGTAGTCGAGCTCGTTGAAGATGTATTGGTGGTACTGGAGCCACAACTTCCGGAGGTTGGCCCCATAGATGCGGCCCTCCGAGGGGTCATAGACGCCCACCTGGGGATTCCACTTCTCTTTCGGTGTTTTTTGTTCGAAGATGTGTTCTTGTGTGTTTTCTGAGGGTACAAAGGGTCGCGCTAAGTCACATCAACGCGAGCGAAGTCACGTCACAGCATGGCCACGCACACACACACGCGTGAAGTCAACCAGCGCGGGTAAAATCACATCATGAATCAGAATTTTCCTGGCCATCACATTGGCCGCGCGATTCCACAGTACCCTAGAAACAAATGTGGTTTCAAAGAGACCCTAAAATGAAAAGTACAATTTTTGTGGTCCCCCAATTACAAGCACACACACACATATTTAATCAACCTCCATTTGGTTTCCGAGAATTGGACCGTTCAAATTGGGGCTGGTTGATTTTGCGATTTTTTGGCAACCAACCTTGAGAAAGTTCGAGAGTTTGAGGCTCAAGGGCACGTAAGAGAAGGCATTGTTGAGGAAGGGCAGCATGCACTGCGCCACGGTGATGTCCTTGCCCAAATTCGTAGGCCCATCCTGTGGAAAATGCCAAGGCCTCATGGAGGGAAGATGAAAAATCGGGCAGATTCGCCCTTCAAAAGTTGCAATTTACTGATGGTGTCCATTGAAACTCCCACTTGCAGAGGTTCCAAAAAGACAAACTCCTGACCTTTCTCTGTGGGGGGGGTGGGGAAAGATTCGTATCAGGGAATCTGGCTCAAGCGCTTCAACCCAATTGTTTTCCTCCCTTCCTTCAGGTGCTCCAGAGTGATGTGCTCCACATGGAAGTTCTCCTGCAGGTTGTCGAGGTACGCGGTCCACCTTTTCGCATGGGAAGGGTCGCTCTCAAAGTATTCCTGGCCCGTCAGAATGCGGCAACCCCAAAACATGGACTAACCCCAAAAAGCCAACAAACAAAAAAAGCAACGTGGTTAAACCCCTATAGCTCTAAACACCTCCTGGTGTTCCTTTCAAGGGGGCCAGGGAATAGTTGAAGCAACAAAGTTCGTGCAACAGTCCTTCAACTCCTTCATATACGTCTGCGTGCGCAGGCTCATCGGGGTGCCCACCTGAGTGCCCCATGGGTATAAAAGGGTTTTCTTACCTGGTTGTATCTGGACAAGCCAATCTCCGCTGCCCAGTTCGGAGTTAACCTTTTGGGCCCCCGGAAGAGGGAAGCCAAAAGGTCATTTCAGGTTGATTCGCTTTCAAGTGAGCAATAGGAAGCGATTGGCTTTCGGCATCTAAGCTGCCTGGTGGGCTGCAAAGCAGTCGAACATGCGCGTGCGCCATTGCCGCGCCCAGCACTCGTCCCTCCTGCCGCCCCACAACTTCTTCAAACCAGCGTCCGCCTTGTTCAGGAAGGCCTGACGACCCATACGGTACGGGTTCTAAGAGACATTCGCTTGACCCGAAGGCAGAATCCCTTTGATAGAACTCATTCCAAGAACGATTGAACCTGCTCGTCACCGCTGGTGACTGGTATGACTCATAGAAAACAACACCGCCGCACAACACACACCCAGCCAACACACCAAACACCCTTGCAAAGTGTATGTTTGGGTCTGCGTCAACATTCTTGACTTGCTCATACTGGACCCACTCAGGTGACATCCTCGTAATCAAAGGAGAACAGGCCTCTCAAAATGGCTTCCCGCTTTAGGTTTGACCCGGTCACACTTTGGTCATGTTCAAGGCCGCTCAAAGGGGAAGCATGTCATAGCCCGATTCTCTCTTTCATGGGTTGCTCCATGTTTATCCCAGTTGATCCTATGGTAGGCAACCAGCCATTTTCCCTTTGGATTCTAAAGGGTGGTGGTTACCTGGGTTACCAGTGAAAGACCAGCCCAATTATACCATCAAAGGCACCCGCGCCTTCAGTGGGCTAAAGGGAATCACTGGGACTAGTATACTATACAAATGGAATCGCTCGGTATGTGCCCAAACCTGGAAATAACAGGTTGACCTTTTGGACCTCTAAATATGGACCAAAATTGGAAAACCAAAAGGTGATGTCAGGTCGATTTGCGCGATTTACCGCCTCAAAACCCGTGGAGCTCCATAGTCAAGGTTGAGGATCCAACTGAGCAGCTCATCAGACTCAGCTGCCAGGACCCAGAAACAAAATGGTGCCTTGCGCCACCAGCAATGAGAACCCCGGTTGCGGGGAAACCTACCAGCTCATTTTAGGTCGATTTGAGATGCCGTCGCCTTCGCGTTGCTGTGGGACATGATCTGCGCCTTGCAGGTCGGCTCGGCCAGACAGGCGCCGGGCTGGCTCACGACGGTCTCCTGGCGCGACGGGCAACTGGCACGAACAACAGGTTGTTCGGGGTGAAAATGGGGGGTGTCTGTTTTGAGCAGGGCTGTGGGAAATGACAACTTCTGTGATACAACAAAAAAAGCCTCCCAAAGACTAACCCCCCATAAAAACGGGAAGTTCCCTTGTATCACAGAAGTGGGGAGAAACCCCTTGATCCCACAACCCTGGTTTTGAGGTACCCCCTTTTTCGTGGTTTTAAAGGGAAGTTTTGGGGGGCCCTAACCAAATGACACGCCGATGACCCATGTGTTTAAACAACCCCCCTGGTTTGGTCAAACGCCAACGAAGCAAAAGAAGGTTGTCAAACCTACCAACCCCTGGCAACAAGCCTTTTTTTTCAGGAGAAGGTTGTTGAAACCCTTGTTCAACCCCCAGCACCAAAGCAAGGCTGTTCAAACAAGTGTTTTATACAGCAGGAGCTTGAGCAAAATCCAATAGTGCAAGAAAAACCGTGGTTAGTGAGATTTCGCCCAGTGAACCCCTTTCGGAGGGAAACCAAAGGAACCGCGTCAGCCCCGAACGAGCGAACGAGAGCTCTCCTGGCAGCAATGCCCAGGCACCTCCACGCAGTCGTTGGCGCCCGACCACTTCCACGTGCAGCTGCCCTCCTCTGACTTCATCGAACCGCAGCACCTTGGGCCACGCCGCTTCAACCGCATACTGACAGATATACGTATATATATAATACACACACACATATATATATATTATATATCTAATATATATGAACACATGCGGTTCAAGCCCGACCACGGTTGCTTGAACGTGATCCGGTTCGTTACCCTTTAAATGGCGTGTTCTGACAGCTGGGTTTCTTCTTGGGCCCCGGGTCTGGGTGATTTTCGAAACACGTCGCCCCAACCCACCTGTGGACCTCCGGCTGAACGGCGACGAAGCCCAGCGACCGCTTGCACTCCTCGGCCTATGAAAGTGCACTGGGATTTGGAACCGGCTTGAGGCGGCTTTTGCTGTTCCTTTCAAACCTTCACACAAAGCCAGGGTTGTGCAACAAGATATATATATATATATATATACTCCAACCCCGGGGGTTGGTTCAACACATTTTGCCACCCCCAACAACCTCTTTCCCTTTGCAGGGGTTAGAAAACCCTGGCAAGCAGCACCCTTTGTTCGGCCTCTGGGATGTCGTCCACGCCTTTCCACACGTCGCAGTAGGCGTCCAAGGTGGCTTGGTCGGCGCCGAAGGAGCCCCGCATCACGCGGATGGAGAACTTCCCGGGCACGTCCGGGAGGTTGCAATGCAGCAGCTCCTCTAACTGGGGTGCCGGCCAGTAAGGCTTGTACCTTGGAAAAGCGACCCGACAAAGAGTGGGTATTTGGAGGGTAGGATTTGGGGGTAGGGGTCGAATCCCTTGATTCATCATTCCAGTGGACAAATATTGCAAATGTTACACGTCCGAGGTGCGACCCCGAGCCGTTGTCAAAGACCATCTCATACTCATCCTCCTCGGTCCAGAGCTCCACATTGTTCGCATGTGCGGGGTTCTTGTTGATGACCACCACCTCGCCGGCATAGCGCAAGTCTTTGCGGGAGCCTGCGACGTGGGAAACCTGTGATACCCAAATGGGATTCCCGGCCCCATGGCTACTACATCACCCTTTCTGTGAAAGCCCCTGCTCCCACAACCATGAGCCTGCGTGCATGTTGTGCTTACTCAAGAGGTCGAACTTCATCGTCCTCCTTAGTTCGCGGGTCCCCTGCCAAAAGCCAAACTTTTTGTAGGACGTGTCATAAAATCCCTCGGAAACACAAAAGTCTGAACGTCTCAGGGTATGTATCTAGCATGAAACCAACCCAAAAAGGATACCCGAGAAAGAAAAAAACACTGTATAACATCCCACAAAAATACCCGAAGCACGTGATATGGGGTACCCCTAAAAATGGGCTCCAAGCTATGGCTGGGAAAAGCTTAGCTTCGACAGCAGCCCAGTGATCCCCAAGGGAATCTTCAATGAGTCGAGCATGCCGCCGGTGGCAATCTCCAGGCGCGTGTCGGTCACGGCGTAGGTGAATCGCTGCCGGCCACTGTAACTCACCTGTGGTCCAGCATGGCGGGGTTCCTTCATTCCTGCTTTCCATGGTTCTCCCCATTTAGGTTGCTGCCATTAGATAGATCCACCTATGGTTGCTTCACCTCTAATGGTTTCCTACCATTGGGTTGCCTTAGGGTTCCTTCAACCATTCCAAAATGGCTACCAACCTGTGGGGATCCCTGTAGTACTTTACACTGGACCTTGAAAAGGGTATACTAAAGGAACGTATCCCCTTAAAGCACCTGCTGATCCGTAGAATCAATTTGGAGAAACCCACCTGGTCACCGACCTTGACCATGCGCCGCCCCAGATCCATCTGCCGCAAGAGATCCATGCCGGTGTTCACCTGGTGCTAAACCGGATATCTGGGTCTTTTTGGGGGGAATGTTTTCCCCAAAGGGATAATTGAAAAAGCGACATAAACAAAACATAAAACTCACCCGCTTGTGGCTTCCCAGGCGTCGCGGAAAAAGCATGGATGGATTGCCATTTGCGTCCCGTCACCGTGGCACTGCTCGTCTCTTGCCCCGGGAGATTCAGCAAAAACTTGAAGAGGCTGCCCCCCAGATTCAGCGCCAGGTCAAACGGCCCCACCTGGCTCTCCAATATGGACGGATGGACGGATTTGGAGTGACACCCCTCCCCCCAAAGAGAGTTTTCCCTTTGACTTCCCTTTTCAACCGACCCGAAAAGGTGCCGTTACCGAATCAGACTGCGCATAGAGAAGGGGGTCAGTGGTTACAATTTTGCCAACCCTGCCCCACCTTGATGCTGGTGCGCGCGGCCCTTTCCAGCTGGTTGTCATCGTCCTGCAGGGCTCACTTCAAGACTTCCTGAAAAAGGACATCAAGGGAGCCTCACTATGTTATATTGGACCCCCAATCATGGTATCCAGGGAACCCTGACAATGGCAGTCTAGTTGTTAAAATTCAGGGATCCATGACACCACCCTAAGGGTCGTTTGGTCATGGCAACTTCTTTTTTTGAGGGCACTTGCTTTGTGCTTGTTTTACAGGGAACCCAAAAGGGAAAACTACTGGTGAGGGTACCTTCAACAATGTGACCTGGCGGGTTTTTCGGGTAAGCTTTTTGGAGGGTTGGGTTTAAAGGGCAAGCGGCAGGTGTCCTGGTACAGCAAGGCGTGCTCCGCAGAGGTGAAGGCGCGCTTGGCGTAGCTCAGGTCCCCGCGGAAGACCTCCGGGTGCTCGGAGAAGTCGAAGCTGGAGCCGATGTGGTGCAGCCTCGGTGTCGCGTCTCCGGGGAAAACAAAAAAAGGGGGGAAAAACGCCGGTGTTTCAGGCGGTTGTCCTGAACTCGGGGAGAAACAGATCAATGTGAATCAATGTGTTTGCCAGATTTCCATTCTCTTTCCATGCGTTGATTCTTAAAGGGGACTTCCCCCTTCTAAGAAGAACAAAAACCAAATAGTAATAATATAAAAGGCGTCGCTTTTTGCTGGCGAATTTCAATCAGAAAGATGGAAACACCTCTTAAACACTTGTTTGGCAATTCCCCCAAACCCCTCTTAACAAAAGCCCGGCCAAACTCGTCTAAATCATGATCCTGCTCAGCAGCCCCAGCGTGTAGGCGCGGAACACCGCGGTGCCGTCCCCTGAGAGCTGGTGCTTCCTTGCTGTGAATGGGCCCGAAATGGGCGGTGGGCACTTGATTTGTGCTTGTGAAGGGACACCAAATGGAAAGCCTGAACAGAGAACATCAGTCGCCATACCCATCTGAGTAATAACTTTGACTCAGCTTCGTCAAGGGCAAAGCCCGGGGAGACGGGAAGGCGGAGACGTTGGGCATCAGCAGCCGGTCGCGGAAGCCACACTCGCCGTTCAAAGTGTCCAGCGTGTCCACCATGAGGCCTTCATCAAACTATGCAAAAGTGGCCACTTGACGCTCGACGAAAAAGGATCGGACATAAATTCACCGACATCTGACGTCCACCGAATGCTGATGTCCACCATTTCGAGCCCAACAAATAAAAAGCGTAAAAAAGTACAAAGGCAACGGAAAAAGGAAAAAAGCAAAAGGCTTCTGTTAAGTCTGGCGCGGGGGGCCATGGGTGTGCTCCACCGAGCCCATGGCCAGTGCGTGTTGCCGCTCTTTGGTCATCTCAAACAGCGCGTGGATCTCGTCGCCCGACGGCAGGCTGAAGAGATGGCAGTTGGGACATGTCAGGGTCCCCCCGCTCATGTACGACCAGGCAGCACCAATCATGACCTGGGTCAAGACCAGTCGTTTCCTGTAAAGTTGAAAGGACATGAAAATCAGAAAATTAGAGTTCCGTCGGGAAATTCAGAGTCCACAGCTCCCACACGGACCAAGTCCCACAAATCTTGGTTGAAAAATTGTTCGACCCGCGGCGATCCTGGCAATTGAAGCTCAGCTTGCCGTAGCGGTGCGCAAAGAGCTTGTGCCAAACCCGCAGGAAAGAGAAGACCTCCCTTTCTGACACTTTCCGACCCATGCTCATCCTTAGTCAACCCGATTTCATTGGCCAAAGATGCAAGCGATGGACAATATTCACGTCAATGACATCCAAAGACGTGAGCCATAGTCTTAGCCAACGGCAACAATTGGCGAGCAAGCCTCACTTGGTATTTTGAGGCTCATGTGCCCAATGTCCTGGCTACCAATGTTGAAAGCTGGAACCCCTTGGAAAATGCTTGGACATAACTCTCCAGTGAATTCTGGTGTCCACCAGTTCGGTTCACCTATCCAAGATCATACGGGGGTTGCTGTAAAATAAAACATGAGTGGGTGTCCTTTCATTTCCCTTTAAAACCACCCCAAAATGGTACCCTCAAAAAACCGGCCACCCATAAAATGTTGACCTAGCGTCTCCCGGTACACAGATTTGGCCGCGAAGTTGGGGTTCGTGGCCTTGGCTGCTTTCAGCTCCTCCTGCACACTTTTCTTCAGGTACTCTTTGCAGTTCGGTTTAAGGAACACCGAATCGCATTGTAAAGAGAAACCTCCTTGTCCTGTGGGGCGGCTCCTATTTTAACCCCCTCCTGCGTCATGGTGTTGGCCGAGTTCATTTTCTTCGAGCTGCTCACGTCCTCGAAGGGGATCCGCAGCACGAAGATGGCGCCCAGATCAAGGCGCTCCTCGGACCTCTTGGGATCGCGGACGGTGTGCAAGTCGATGGCCAGCATGGGCTCCTCGGGGTCTCCCAATATGGACCCACGGGAAAAAAACAATTAGCTCGCCTTGGTCGCAGTTTCTTTTTGGCAGTCTTTATGGGAGTCCGAAAAATCGTAGCTTACTGCTTACTCGTTTCTTCATTTGGTAAGGGACACCTTCTGTTGTTGAGTTGGGGGAGTTCAGAATCAAAATCTGGCGTCACAGGGTTCCAGGCTCTTCCCAAATGCACAAATCCACAACTCGGGGGTCCCCTTCAAACATCACCCCAAAGGAAACTTACGGTAAATTGGCAACCCAAAGGTGATGCTTATAAAGGCCAAAAGCGAAAATGTTGGGACCCCTGTTTTAAGCGGTCCTGCAAACCATCAAGGGCTGTTGATGGTTGGGACCATCCCAAACTGTATAACCTTCACTTGCCTAGGGTTCGATTGTGGCTCTCCACCCCTTGTTTACGCAATGGTTAACAAAAACTCCAAAAACGCCCTGCGTCTCCTGATCGCCAAAATCCAAGATCAGCTGGGAATGCTGACCGCCCACAATCCCCAAGGCACCCGTAGTGGTTCGGGTGATCTCGTAGGCGCTGCGCACAAATCGGTCAGCACTTCCCAGCGGAAGCACCGGGGATTTCCCCGCCCCCAGCTTGTCGTCATACACGAAGTCCGCACACACGAGGTTTACCGCCAAGGCCAGGACGACGGAGCGAAAAGCCATGGCAATAGATGGATGAACTTGTCAAACAAGACAGACCTGAAATTGAGAGAGAAAGAGAGCTCTGCGGAGGATGCATTAAGCTAGTCGATTGCAAAACCCAAGTTTGCTCAGTGGGCAGGCCAAAGCAGGGCCAGGAAGTCCACAGGATGGACTGTCAGAGAATTCTGTGCTTATGCTCCGTCACATTTGGTTGGTTCACCCTTGCGCTGAACGTTTATGATCCAGGCTAATCACTTCATGAGCTTGTCGATAAAACGGGTCAAAACGTTCGAATGCGCCGCTAAAATGTTTACATGATGGTATTTTTCTTTCGAGTTGTTTTTGAGCGAACAAGTCTTCTCACACGCTTCTGGCATTCAGTACAGGGACTTGTGGCTTTGGGCCCAATATTTTAGAATCTTGGTCCATGCCTTTGGCTTTCCAAGGCATGGGTGCCCCTAAAATAATCTTTATGCCTAGGCCATCAAATGTGTTCTGGGGCTTGCATGAGACCATGGCCGCCTCTGCCCGTATGGAAGATATCGTCAGAGTCTGAAGTCGGACATGGTAATCATTGGAGGACCCACGTCCACTATCCCCACCAACAACAAAAAACATGAGTCCAGTCCAGGAATTGTGCTTTCTGATACATTCAAATTTGCCTCGCTCCATAAGTCCATTTTTGTCGAAAATGTGCTGACAATTGCGAAAATCATTGCTTTTTTGACCTCTTGCTAGCCAGGCCTGTCTGACGTGTCTGAGACTAGGCTCAGGCCCAGCCCAACCAGCAAGCCGCCTGCTGGCCAGGCCTGTCAGCCCAACCCACCCAAGCTTGTCTGAAACAGGCCTAGCCCAACCAGCAACCGCCCAAGCACGGCCCCAAGTCATCCAGCAAGCCCAGCCCAGCCTGCCCCCCAGCGCCCACCAGGTCAGGTTTGTCTAACGTGTCTGAGACTGGCCTCAGGCCAACAACCAGTCTCACGTGTCTGAGACTGGTCTCAAGCTACGCCAGCTACTAAGCCTGTCTGACAGCTCCTTCGGCGCAGTGTGAGACTGGTCTCAAAGTATGCCGAGACTAGCCTCAGGCCCAGTCCCTCAGCCCGCGTGCTGGCGTGTCTTACGTCTGCAACTGGCCTCAGGCCCAGCCCAGCAACTCGCCACCCAGCCTCAGGCCCAAGTGTGTATGAAACAGGCCTTGCCCATCCAGCAACCCGCCCAAGCACAGCTCAGCCCAGCCCGCCCAGCCCAAGTTCCAGGCGCAACCAGCGGCTGCCCGGCTGCCAGCAACCCACCCATGGCTTCGCAGCGCTCAGCCCAGCGTGCCAGGTCAGGTTTGTCTAACGTGTCTGAAACTGGCCTCAGGCCAACGACCAGTCTCACGTGTCTGTGTCTGAGACTGGTCTCAAGCTATGCCAGCTACTAAGCCTGTCTGACGTGCCCCAGCCCCTCAGTCCGGCTGCAAGCAGCTCAGCGCCCAGGCCTTGACCTCCTGCTCGCGTCTGGCCCCAAGTCATCCAGCAGGCCCAGCCCTTTCGGCGCAGTCTGAGACTCCCTTCGGCGCAGTCTGAGACTGGTCTGAAGGTATGCCAGCCTGAGACTAGCCTCATGTATGAGACAGGCCCCGCCCAAGCACAGCTCAGCCCAGCCCGCCCAGCCAAAGATCCAGGCGCAACCACAGCGTAGTCCGGCTGCCCCACAGCCAGCAACCCACCCATGGCTTCGCAGCCTCGTGGCTGAGACTAGCTTCAGGCCCAGCCCAACCAGCAACCCGCCTAAGCAAACACCACTAGCCTGTGGCCCAGCCCAACCAGGCGAGGCCGGCTTGTCTGACTTGTCTGGAGCCAGCTTCAGGCCCAGCCCAACCAGCAACCCGCGCAAGCAAGCCACAGCCCAGCTGGCTTCAGGCCAGCCCAACCAGCCACCCGCCCTAGCAAGGCCCAGCCCAGCCCGCCCTGCCCAGGCCCCAGGCGCAGGCCTTCCCCAACCAGCAGCCTGGTCCGGCGCATGGCATCAATTGGCCCAACGTGCCCCAGCCCTTCACTCCGGCTGCCCAAGCAGCGCAGCCCAAGCTGGCCAGCCCTAGTCTGAGCAAGCAACCCACTCAAGCACGGCCTACCCCAGCTCCCCTTCGCTTCGGCCCCCAGCCCACAGCTTAGCCAGCAAGCCCAGCCTGCCCGGCCTCTCGGCGCAGGGGAAATACAACGGCACACGCTACGGCTTCTGAGCAGGACGGCTTCCGAACATCGAACTAGCACGGGCGAACTGGTGCGGTCACAAGCTCTCAGTAGGATTCGGACCTTCCCAACACTGGATTTCGGTGTTCCTGACCCTTCCCTCGAACTAGGCTGGGCCGAGGCGGGCAACGCGAAGCGTTTACAATTATTTGGCTGTGGGTCAAAACCATTGGTACCATTTTGGGGTAGGTGCACCACCCATTTTAGTCTATTTTAGTGGGGATTGGGATGTTCACTGGGGGTATGGGGTTTTGACCGATGGCCATTTCACTCATGCGTCAACCCTGCGTCTTCGATCTTCGAGCATCCTCCAAACTGCTACGGCCAAGTTAAACGGTTCGCGCACGCGTGTGCCTATCAAATGACTACGTAACTGATGTCAGCGTGACATGGTGTACGTTGAAAACGCACCACAGAAGGAAATAATTGAAATAACGCTTCCAACATGGGACACTTTGCACATCATTATGGATGCCCCTAAACCCCAAATACCATGCTTTATCACAAATTGATTGGCCAGCGGAAGATTAAGCTGTTCAAAGCCATCGATGGGCCGACGGGCTAAGTCCCTTGCAAGAGACTGGGCAACAGACGGAGATGTAAACCAAGATTTGGGCTACCAAGATTAACACTTCAATCCACTGGCACAAGCTCGGGTTTGCCAGGGAAAGCCACCTCAGATGCCGAGTGGCCATGGGAAAAGGGGGGCATCCGCTTTTGGTTGGTTGAATTTGAAGGGGAACCCTTCCCAAGAAAGAGGCAACAGACCGCCGCTGGGCAACTGGGCCGCTCGGGTTGCAGGAAGCAGCAAAGAGATCCGCCCAGGTCACGAACGAAACCGCCGCCCGGATTCGCGGATTCGCCTCGCTGCAGCACTCCTTGCATTGGAAGAAGGAGCCCAACAGCGCCAGCATCGTGGATCATCCCATAGGACCGAGTCGGGTGGCAGCCCCCTTACCGCGAGCGCCACTCCCCGGCCCCAAGCCTGAAGCTGATCTGGTGTTTCGCCCATCTCACAGCCAATTGTTCTGGCAAAGAAGGCTCTAAAGAAAGAATGTTAAAAGGACAGCCCCCAAACAAGAGCTCTGAAAGAAAAGCACCCCCAAACACGTGAAAGGAAAGCCCCCCAAAACACGTGGTAAAGCTCCTAAAGGCAACTCTGGTGCCTCTCCTTCCGTGCGGTGTCTTTCTGCCGCGCCGTTCGGCCGCTGGGCTCTTGAGCAAAGCATCGCGAGCAGTCGAGTGACGCCGAGCACAGGGGCCGCGATCCGAAAACCAACCGAGCGCTCAATAAGCAGGCTGAGTTTGTGCGGGAAAATGTTGGAACCTCCTTTAAACCATCCACACTTCAAGGGGTCACTCATTCAATTGTGGCCCGTGGTCAGTTTGAAGCAGGATATCTGCGTGATCAAACAGTGATCATGAGCCTCGCTCCGGCAACAAACCAAGCGGTTTTCGCACGCTCAGTTAGTGAGCCTACCCGGTATCCCTGTCAGCTGGAAGTGGAAGCGGCAATATTGTCCGTATTGCACTATCTCCGGGTTTTGCAACAGCTCAATTGCACGGGCATTCTGGAAGAGTTGGGAAGAGCCGGGCTGTGACGATTGGATTATCGATCTTTGGCACGTGAGCCGCCTTCAGAGCCTATGCGACCGAAGCAACCTCCCTTCAACATTTGCTTGCTCCACACACACAGCTCATTTTGCCATAGCCTTAATGACCCAAAAGCCAACATGTCAAACAATATGTCCAAACACAAGCATTCTGCAAATACGAGCAGCAATGGTCACCAGATTTAATGAAGAGCCCATACACTTTCAAGAGACTCGTCAACAAGACATACTGGACGGAATATGTGTGTGTGTGTGTGTGCGTGTGTTTCTTAGTTTTTTGATGGGTGCAAAGGGAAGCCAAAAGGAAAACCACGATAAAGATTCGCCCATATCATTTCAATTAAGAAAATATGCGAAGCGCAGTCGAGGGCGGGCCAGCATCGGTTGATGCCGTTCAACTCGTGTTCGAGGCGGTAGACCGTCACCACTTGCTCCTAAGGCATGCAAACAAAAACTATTAACATGCTGCCCACTCCACTACTCAGCCTGGAGAATGGGCTGGTGCGATAGGTAGGGAATGAGGGAATGAACCCAGGGCCCTTTAAAGGAAAACCACCAGTTGGGTCATTCCCTCATGCCCTACTGGCACCAGCAAGTGGGTGAATCGTCATGTCTCACAATGAGTAGAGACACCCCGAGGACAGTAGCCGCTGAAATCAGCCGCTTCGCCTGCACGGGCCTTGCATTCATCTCTGTGAAGCTTCATACGAAGAAGAGCACGTCAAGCAACATCCAGAACGGTGCCAAAGGAAAACTGATCATTGAATGAAGTGCGCAAACCCCAAACAACTAGCAGCCGAGTACATTTGGACGATCGACATTCAATCAAAGAAGATAACCTTGGCTAAACTCCCGAGAGCAGTTTGAAAAGGCATGTTGAAGCATCCCGTGCTCCTTGCCATCAACGATCATTTTCAGCGTGGTGAATTCTTCCAGGAAGCCGTAGTCCACATCACCAAACCTCTGGCTGGCATCTGAGCGAAATGCAAAGAATGCTCTACAAAGAACGGTGAAACTCACCAGAAACCCCTGTGACCCACCGGGAAGATTAGGCTTATGGATTTCCCTCGGCATTTTGGTTTAAAACCTACATCCAAATCTCCGGGAGCCCGCAAAGCAATCAGGCTCAATGGAATCTCGCACAAATCTGGATGGGCAAAATCCAAATCGCACC